CCTAGTGGGTGATTGTCTGGTGCTGGTAAGTGGGTTAGTGCGTGTATACTTTAAGCGTAGAAGCAGGAAAATTTGATGTCAAGATTCCCTTAGAAGTTTAAGTTTGCCTTGAATAGATTGTAATTCTCCAGAGTGGTGAGGATGAAATGTAGACCAGTTATCAACATCAGGAAAGCCAAGAGTGTCACCTCCCTCCATGCATTACTTCACTGGTCAAGAGCCTCAGAAGTTGACAGATGTGGGTTGTTTAATTTAGGAAAGACATACACATCTTTAATGAATCTCTTTGGATGAATAATTAGTGGAGTGATCTTTAAACTGGTGTCATTTGGGGATATTTCAGTCTGTATGAGTTTTTTTTCTACTGTGTAAAAAAAAAAGCAGAATACTAGTATTTTCTTTTTGTTAAAATAAGCAATACTAGATGTCTTATTATAAAGAGATTTTACATTTAAACAAATCCTTTAAAAGTAAACCTGCTGCACTTCACCACCATCATGAATGAATCATATTAGCAGTGGGAGGCTGTGCATTTGCAGAAATACACAATTGATTAGAAAGTTAATGAATCTAAGCACAAAGACGAAGAGTAAACACTTCACATAAACATAATTTCTAACTCCTCTGGAGGACTAATACTTATAAAGAGGCTTACATTTTTATTGGATTTTTTAGTGACAATAAGAAAACACACACAAGACACGCATATTACTTACACATCACAAACTAAGCATGGCCTTAGTGCATCCCATCTTATTTCATATTCATTCAGTTTTCCCATGTCTAGTTGCGATAATGCCCTCTAACCTAAAATAATGCTTCAAAACAAAACCAAATGAAGGAATGTCAAGCATTCTTTTTCTTTCAGTTCGAAAAATAAATCGCTTACCCAACAAAATAACTGTTTAACATACTTGGACATCCATTTTTTAATTCCCCAAGAATGATTGTTTGAGGGCTCATTGTTAGTAGTGAAAATGAAGCGAGCCATTTTTTCAGGGACAACCAATGAGGCTTACATTTTATCATGTCAACAAGATGTTTCTGGTGCAGTTCTGTTGGGTTAAGCTCCCTTTGTCAATGTCACTGAGCTTTCAATTGAAAGGGCATTACCAAAGCAAATCTCTAAATGACAAGAATATAGTTACACAATGTGATTGGCTAATTTGGGTGTCATTTTACTTAAACATAGTGGCAACATTGTTGAGCAGGTAGTGTTTTATTTTTAAATCTACACTGAACAGCCTTCCAAGTTTCAGTTGAAGGTTCTTTTTCTCCAAACACATTCTAATCGTAGAAAATGAACAGGAAATGTAGCCATGAGGCAAAGTAGCAATAATGCAATTTTTTCCGTTATTCAAAGACTGGATCAGGATCTTTTGTTCTGAAGTATAGACGGCTGTGTTTAAGAGTCATTTTAAACTGTTTTACATGTGACACACCAGCTCTGTCTGCATCCACCGGTTTGCTTTAATTGAGCATTTAACCAGCAGTAGAACATGTTTATATTTCACTCCCATGAAATTATGGGATGGCTAGCAGCAGCTGTTAGTGTTTGTCAGTGGATTTCTCTGGGATGCAGCTAATGTATTAGGCCGTTCTGCTGCTTGAATGTGACGTATAGCCATGTCTTAACACATTCCAGCAGGTTGGAGGTTGAAGTGGATGGCTCCCTTCTTTTTCTGGTCGTTCAGACTGAAACTGCACGGCTGCTCTGCATCGCCTGTTCATGCGAGCAGAAAGAGAGAGTCGTGATGCCCATCTCAATGAGGGGAGGGGGGAAATGGAGGAATGCGAGTGGGACAAAAGGAGGTAGTGCGCAGCACAGTGGGGGAGAGATGTTGCAAGTTGTAGCAAACACAGAAACCTAGAGGGACTGTCATCAAAAAAAAAAAAAAAAAAAGCACCAGAGGAAGGAGAGAACAGCATTGCGCCTGCAGGAGTCGTGGTGCTCATCTTAATGTGGCAGAAAGAGATCAGTATTTGAGAAGGTAAAACATGTTCATGCCACTAGCACTGTAAGCTTTGTCTTTACAGTGAGTGTCATCATCTCATACCAACTTTTCATTTTCACAGCTGCTAACTAGTACATGCATGACTTACTGGTCATTTTCACATCTCCATGCGGTATAGACTTACAGCGAAGTATCCAGTTGTAATTAGACCTTGTGATTCCTCAGCAGTGTTAGAGGGGTTGCATTACTACATTGTGCCTCTGCACAAACGCCGTCTCAGCAAAAATTGTACAGCCAGTGACCTTCAAAGAACAATTCAGACATTGACCCAGGGATAATGAGCTTTTATTAAAAGTTAAGATGCAGATGCTTGTCATGTCTTTGATTTGGCATGAGGGGACGATTTAGTCTTCTACTCAGTCAGGATCACCTCTCCACTTGATACCAGAGCCCCTGGACTTGAGGAAACTTTCCTTACTGCAGCTCTCCCTGTATTAAAAAGACAGAATTAGATCATTTATAACCTTTAATTTCACATACACTTTGATTTAATTGAAGTAGTCAGCCAGAAGGGTTTACATTTCAATATCCACCAATGCAAGAATTTATTCAAATATAACATTTCCAGCTACAACAATTTCTGTTACAAGATTTTCCTTCACCTTCAGAGTTTTAAACTTCAATATGAATCATTGTGCTTTTACAGTTACAGTAGCATGGCCAGAGATTGAAGTGCAACTTATGTAGCCATGGTTTGATGCTGATATGACAATTCTGTTCAGTGCACAACACAGGGACAGGACAATGCTGGAATCCCCAAACTCTGAATTACTCTGTTCAGACCAAGTTTTATAAACTGAGCGCATAAGGTTAATCACATTTAACAGTCAAGAAATTACTCACGTTGTCTATGGCACGATTGTTCACAAGAGTAAGTGCTACTGGGATAACACACCGCTGTTGCACAATGGATGAACACCTGCAATCAAGAGTTTAAGTTACAGATATATTTGGTGGCAGAATAGTCACTTATGGGTCTACTGCAGTTTAAAGGTGGACTGTACCGTGTCTTTCTGAGGGGCGTAGGAGTTTTGCTCTACAAACGCAAACATTTTTATAATGAAGCGTTTGTGGTGCGTGGGGTAATTAAGCCCCGAATAGCCGTCAACAGGCACCACTGTGGTCAGGTAACGGTCATCATGGTAAGGACACCTGGAGACGACAAGAGCGCTTGTTCTACAGCACTGAAACTATACAGGCTAAAATGTTAAACTGTGCAAGTGATTTAATGTTTAGATACCCATCAACCAGAAGGTCCCACTGTGGCTGACTCTCAGGGTTGGAGGTGGAAGTGGCCCAACAGTGCTCTAGGTTCAGGAAGATGTTCTGATCAGATCGCTCCACAATGCTCACCTCAACATAGACAGGGTCTCGCAGCACTTTAGTGATGGGGTAGTCTGCTGGAGTGTAGAAGGAGCTATACGCTGCTACTTCTGCAATCATAGAAGCACAGATTTAGCATAGCACCATATACAGTGTTCTTGCATTGCTATTGCCCTCTTAAGCCACTCACCCTCCACACAGCCCTTTGTGTGGCACTCCCCATTGCCCAACTTAAGCTCCACTCTCAGGGGTCCTAATGCAGCAACCGGCACAGGTGGAGGAACAGCATTCACCTCCATGACAAGGGCCTCCACAGCTGTGCTAGAATACCTGCACTGGAACAGTAACCTGCAGAGAGAGAGTAAAGGACTTTGCAGCTCAGGAGACCTCACAGGGTCACAAAAGCAATAAAAAAGGAGGATCGATTAACACACTGACTCAAAATGGCTGTCCCTGGTGATTGAGCCTCTGGGTCCAATTCCCACCTCATAAGAGGACGACATGTGGTTCTCGTACACCACATAACCCTCCTCTTCCTGTTGGAAGATCATTAATTGAATGCAAAGTTAGTTTACCAAAGCATTGAGAATATGCTCATATTGATTTAAACGAAGACTGTTGCAATCACCTTGATTTTGGTTCCGCATGCAGTCACAGGGAACTGAAGAATGGCAAACGTAGCAGTGAAGGCGACAGGAGTGCAGGAAGGGTCGTTTGCTTCCAGCAGGCTGATTGAATTCACATCAATGAGGGGCACAGTGGCGTCTCGAGCCACAACCACCACAAACTGGCCATCCCTGGTACACTGCACAGTTACTGGGAGAGCAGAGAAAGGTGAATTTGTTCCATTAGTAAAGCTAGCTCACTCTTATCATGTAGAAAAGACACTAGAAACTAAAGTGGAGCACATCCACCTGCTTTCCCATAGTAGCACTGCTGGCCATCAAAGCAGCAGTTTATGTTCGCACACTGCTCAGTGGTGATATCTTGAGTCCCACACTGGATCTTCTCGCCCTCCTCCACCTGGCACTTATCAAAGGGAGCTGCAGGAGCAGAGACATGAGGCCGTTGCTGAGGCGGATGAAAAGGTTGCTGTTGCTCTTGCTGTTGCTGCAGAGGCAGCGCCCAGCGAGGCTGGGAAGATCCATTACGAACCAAAACTACAACCAACACAACACCAAACAGACACTTGAAGAGCTCCATTATGGTGGTAAAAATTACACACTGGCCCAAACTGTGACAACAACACCCAGAGCTCAGAAGCAGGCTTTATACATGATTGATTGTTTGTGGTTTGCTAAGAACCCCGCCTCCCATCGTTAGGAGTCAATAGTGTGGCAGCCCTGCAGGGTTAATCAGCTGGGAGCTGACAGGTGGAGCTTATTGTCTGCTCATCTGTCTGAAGAGAAATCAGTCCATGACTGTTCTGTAGAAGCTGAGTGGACTTTTTCTTCCTCTTAAAAGATGTGGATATAAATATTGCATAAAGTGAATGTTTGAACCTGGTTCTGTTCTCTTTGAGTGTGAACCTCAGACTATCTTTACTGTGACCCCATACTGTGTACATTTTACCTGCAACCTCCCACTGACATTTCTTTCCCTGCCTCCCACTTGCACCACCTTTTATAAAAGCTCTTTTTTTTCCCGCCTTTACACACACAGATGTATGGGCGCTACACCCAGGAGCTGGGGGTGTATGCCAAAGAGGAAGCAGCCCGCCTACGGGATGGAGGAGTGCGGGATGGCGGGGGACTGCGGAGGAACACAAGCGTCCGTAGTCGTGCTGCAGACCTGCTGGAGTACGAGAAAGACCCCTGTGCAAAGTGCCACTGTAAGTGTTGATAAAGAAAAAGCACTAAATCTTCATCAGAACAGGATAGCAGGGACAACGTTTGGAGATACTTAAGTGTTCTGACATGATGTGAAGGTCAGACAAAAGGAGGCCTCAGTGCTCATAAACTAAGTGGTCCTTGTGCGTGTGTGTGTGTGTGTGTTTGTATAGTAGAATGCAATGCTTCAGTGAGTGTGAAAGGTGTGTGAAAATATTGATTTCTTAAAGTACAGTGGAGCTGATTCCTGACACAAGGGAGAAGGAAGGGATGTAGAATTATTCTTGTGTGTCTGATCTGAGCAATGACCTTTAGCCAACCAGGGTTATCTCAAAGTCAGACTAACACAGCCCCATCTGCGGACTACCAGTGGCCTGTGTGTGTGTTTGTGCAGGTCATTTCTTTCTGTGTGAGTCAATCTGATCTGAATTGTCAGATGTCTCGTCCTCACAGATGAGTGCAGATTAAAGAGTGGCACCAGAAGAGAGCTCCTCTTCAGACTGATCTGATCAGGAACAGCAAAGTGACAGACTCGGACTGTGTGTGTTTGTGTTTGCGGACTCAAAATGTGCATGTCTGTGTATTTTTATTTGTACTAAATCTTAACCCTCAGAAATGCATGGTAAAGAAAATCAACACAACGGAAATGCTCTCAGAGGGGCGTTTAAGCCAAAGTGAAAAATCCTAACTCGCTCCTGCAGTAGAAATATCCCTTTAAAAATACAATTCACACTGACGTCTAGAGATTTTCCACTCACACAAGGACAGTGTGAATAGATAGACAAATCCACAATGTCATTTTCTCATGGTGAGTATTACAAAGCTACTCTCATTTGAATCATCTGTATAATAATATGGATGTCTTCATAAATTAGACCCAAATTGTTTCCCTGATAAAATAGTACTAGATGACACTGAGATAACATGTTGGAAAAAGGGGAGCTGGACCTGAGTGGTTGATCTTTTAGATTATGATGGTTTCTTAACATTTCATTTTATGCAAACTCTAAAAGAAAATTGGTTATTTGTCTTTTTTCTTTAGACCAGATATCTACTGGTTCCATCTTCTTAAATAGGAAAATAAGCTGGTTCTTGTCTTCCTCTTCTATGATATAAAAGTAAATACTGTGTTAGTAAAAAGATATGTGTCTTATCTGTTGCGTTTTCTAAATAGATATTGACATTTTCAATATTGTAAGCACTAAAAATGGGACTGGCTGTGATGACAAGGAGCACACTGCTGGTGAAAGAGAACTGCTAGTGTAAAACAATAAAACTCAAATGAAATTATATTTGACTGGTAAATAAATCTTGTAATTTTGGCACACGTCTGTGATAATATTAGCTGATACTTTAGCCGCTAATATCGGCCGATACTATCGGCTGGCTGAATAATCGGTCGGACTCTACAAATGATTTTTCCATTAGTTGGGAAAAATGCTCACTTTTAGATACAAAAAGTAGAAATACAGTAGACACTGTGCATGCTTTTCACAAGTGAGCGAGCCCCTTTCCAGGATCAGTTTCAGCCTTTTTGCCCTTGTGACTAGTGATCTGATTAAAGCCCCATAAATTGCACCATAGGTGAAAGCCACTCTATATTGGCTCCCTTGCTGGCTGTAATGGCAGCCATTTAAAACAATCACCCTCAGATCAGGAGCCAGCCGGAGTGATTTGTGTGCAGGCCGTCTGCGTGCAGTGTACGCTCGTAGATCAAGAGGTGTTTGTATTTTTAGACTTGTCTTTAGATAGACGCTCAGGCTGGACAGGCTGTGCTGTTGTCTTGTTCTGTAAAGAGAGAACCCACAGTTTTGTTGGAAGTGGGAGTTTTTGTGTGTTTTTTTCGTCACATGTATCTACAGTATCTGTGTGGGAACATCATCTTTGTGGGTGATGGACTACAAGTGTTTCAGCTTGGAGCCGCAGCTTCTGAACAAGGCAGCCTACACATACTGTCAAAGGCTCTGCTGCTGGTCATGATGTAGTGCTAAAAACATGTACTACCTCACTGTGTTTATTTAGACTCCCAGAGTGAATCTCACTGCGGTATTATAGCTGTTACATTACTCACATATCTGACTCTCAAATACTTCAATATATCATAGCAAATGTAATATTTGGCTTTGCATTCAGTGGCTCTTATAGGTGGAAAAACATCCTCATTTAACTATTATAACTGATTACAGCTTGTTGGCATCATGTGATACAAGAATACAGGGATATGAGAAGTGCAGAAAAATGTCTGGCATGGGTAGGATTTTTATTACGGGATCAAGAGCAGACATCTGTGGACACCACTGAGCCTGCGGATGAGAGTGTGAGCCAAGATTGCACACGCAAGTATGTAGCTCTGCAGGTGCCAGGCGAGAAGAGAGAGAGATATAAACAGAGAAAAATAAGGAAATGGTAGGTTTCTGCAGGTCAAATTAATCCAATTAAAACCAAGATCTAGTGAAAAAGGGCAGTCTAATCCACATATATATATATATATATATATATATATATATATATATATTTAACTTTTAATTGTAATGGGTGACTTTTTTTTATTTTATTTTGAATCTGTGATTAAATGGTTTGTCTGCAAATGTCTGTGCATGTTTATGTGGCTTTTTTTTTGACGTCCTCTGTTGGAAAGTTGCCATCGAGCAGGTGGCCTGGAGGCTGGGCAGCTTGACCCGTCATGCACACAGTTGTGCCCCACATCCCTCTGGACGCTCAGCCTCCCCACTGTGACCTGAATCCTGAACCAGACAGACCGCTGCAATGTCTGACTTCTTGTCATTTATTGTATTGTTTCTGGTTTCTTTTAATGACATAAATAAAAATTAACAACATTGAAGATAAATATATACAGTAAAAGCACAGCAGTTAAGAGAAAGCTAAAAGGACGTTTTTAATGATGATTTAAAAGTGGATCCAGTCTTGAATCCTCTGGCAGAGAATGTAAACACTTTCTCAGTAGCAAAGCCGTTTAAACAAGACACTTTATTTTACATGTTCCTTAATAGAAAATATGAAGTTTTCTGAACTTCTGAATATGTTACATAGTCACAGATGTGACACGCAAAGTATAAAAAAGCAGCATTTTGATGACGACATGACCAAAGAAAAGGGGAGCAAAATGTAAATATAATCCTTTTTAGAAATAGTTTTGAAAATCCTTCATTTTAAAGCTTTCTTTTGAGGCCTTTTATGAATGAAAAAAACAATAAAGCCTTTGAGCATTAACCAGGCAATGCTTTGTCATTTTAGGGCCAAAACAATTGATATACAAAAAGGCTGATGTATTTGTACATTTAAACATGTTAACAGGAGATATCATTTGTATTTTGCTGAACAATTTCAGTAGTGGATTCAAACCCTTTTTTTGTGTGTGTATGGCAGGTACAGTTGGGATCCAATCAAAATGTCTTTGTCCAAAAGGATATATAGTTTTGGTGCTTTCCTTCATCTTTTGTAAAATTTAATTTATAATGTTTTTTTTTAATTCTTTGACGCATCATAGATAACAACAGAAAATAGTGTCATGACTGTTTTGAACTGAACAGAGATTTAATGTCAGATGAGTGATGATGAAAGTAACTGTAAGTCCTTCATATTTAGTTACGATCCCTCTCCAACAACAAGGAACACAAACATTATCACTCAGCTGTTTTGCTGTCATTCATAGATCTGTTGCTCTCCTACTTTCTCCTTAATATACATCAAGTTATTGTCTCCCTTTTGAAAGTCAAACGAGTGTCTGTCACAACAGTAGCATTTTCCTGAAATATGGATCTGCTAAATGTGTTAGTAGCACAATTTCAGCTTCTCGAGGGACGAGCAATCTATGAATGCTCTGGATGTGGAAGTGAATTCCGGGCTTTGCCAATGTCCGCAGACAGACATGAAGAAATGAGTCCAGTGATGCTTCTTTTAGATGACCCAGCTCAGAGTTATAGATTATAATGTAATGGTAGAATTTATAACCATGACCTACCTTCATTTTCTCTTGATTCTGTCTTGTTTTGCTTTATAACAGGTCATACTAGATCCCTTATTGCTACTTAAACTATCCTTCTTTGCACTGACTCTGTATGTGTCATCTTTCAGAATGTCTCATAAAATGCTCTGAACTATATTTAAAAACTGTTTTTTTTTTTTTATTAGACAGTACAGTAAAGCAGACCTTTATGATTCAGTCCTCAGGTTTTCATTTGATTTGATCTCCATTTCTGTTCCCTCAGTGTGTGCGTCTCGCTGTCAGAAGTTCCTGATCTCACGGGTGGGAGAGGACTGGATCTTCCTCATTCTGCTGGGCCTGCTCATGGCTCTGGTCAGCTGGGTCATGGACTACGCCATCGCATTCTGCCAAGAAGGTATGAAAGAGCCAAAGAGAGGGACGGAGGAGTCCTAGAGATAGAAGCAGAGTGAAAATAGACTGTTCTCACGGAGGCAGCCAAGTGGTGAAAGTCTTTCTGTTTTCAACTCGGCTAAAATGATCATTATACAGCTTCCTTTTCAGCACTTGCACAGATCATGTTTTAGATTCATTATCACGTAACTCAAAATTAAACATAAGCAATAAACCACACGTTTGAATTCAGCAGTAATGTGTTAGTATGTGACCACTAATGTGTTGTGGTCAAGACTGGTTCTAAGCTTTGAGTCATAAGGACGCTGTTATTAAGTGCTTCTTTATTTTATTATTTCAACAAAAAATGCTGTCATGTTTTCCATTGTGCTGAAAAGGTTACTAGCGAGTGTGGAAATGATTGTCCCCAATAGAAATGCAGGCTTACACACTCAGGCTCCCAGCTCGGGGTTGTATAAATATGGTCTCTTTAATCTAAGTGAATGTGTTTGCTAGCTTTCAAAAGCACCAGCTACCGTGATCCATAAAACTAGCTTATATATGACGAATGTATTGATTTTAGCCGACAGGTGTAAAACATGATGCTATTACATCATGGCACATCTGAAGTCATTGTTTTCATAAGCCCTTCACACATTGCGGCCTTTCAACAGCACCATAAAAAAAGATCCAAGGTCATTGCGTCTTTATAATAACACATTGAATCTGCAAAGGGCGTAATAATGCTGTCCAAGTGTGAGGCTTCATTTTGCATCATGGCGTTCTGAAATGCAAGAGGCATGGCGTGTACACACACACAACGGGAGCCTCACGTGCACACATGTGATGACAGATCAGGAGAAGAACAGCTTTGCTCCACCATTCTGCCTCTTCTGTGCGCTACTCATTGTATACGAGGTGCAAAAAGGGATGTAAAAATCTCGCCTCTAACTGGCAGTAAGTGGCAATATGCCCAGAGTTCTTGTTGCGCTACAGAAGGCTGACCACAATTTCCTCACAGGCCTCCGTTGTCTTTAATAAAAAATATTTAAAGTTGACCAAAACTCACATTCAGTGTTACAATGCTAAACGTGGGCAAAGTTTCAGTTCATGGTGAAAACGTACAGTATGTTGGAGTAATCCCCGGATAAGCCTGCTGAGTTCACATACCAGCTTGTTCCCCCGATATGAAACCAACAATGTGTGGTGAATCAGAAGAAAGTGAGCATGTGGGGAGGGGGGGTCTTAAAGAGACAGCAAATGAAATGAACTGTTTCAGGTAGAGGCTGAAATGAGGGCTTTTACTGACGCCAGTATAAGATAAATAAGACATTTTGTTGAGCTTCAAATCATGCAAAGCTACTCTATAGATCTCACAGACTAACAACATGAAAGGTGAAAATGATTATATTATTGGATCTTTAAGAGTTTACTATAGAGCCTTAGATGCTGTGTAAATTTACAATATCAGAATTGTTACTTTGCTTTTAGCCCTTTTACTACAATTTTGAAATGTATCACTCACTGAGAGTTTCATGAAAATAACTACTGGTGTTAAAAGCAGGCATTAAAAAGTTGCATTTCTGGACATAGATATTTCCCCTTGATCCAGGAGCAACTGCTCTGCTGTCTTTTATGTCCTGGTAAATTTGATAGTAAGAGCCTAATGACGAGGAGGAGAAAACTGAGCTGCTGAAGAATAAAAATGCATGAATAAGGCAGAGGTGAGAAAAGGAAAATTGGACAAAAGGTCAAAGGGAGTTAATGGGGAGGAGAGGAATCAGATGAATACATTCACAGAAAATCTTCAACTAACTGGAAAAATTATCCTCAACTTCCTTAGTTTGATACTGCATTATACTGAGAAGACGTTACCTTTGTATGCGTGTGTGTGTGTGTGTTTGTGTGTGTGCAGCACAGAAGTGGATGTATGGGGGACTGGACAGTAACTTGCTCCTGCAGTACATCGCCTGGGTCACCTACCCCGTAGTGCTCATCACATTCTCAGCAGGATTCACACAGATACTGTCTCCGCAGGCTGTGGGTAAGAGACGCACACACACGGACAAACAAACACTCTTAGGCCTTTTATGCAAAGCCATATGTATTCCTATCTCTAATTCATGGTCACAGTTCTGTGTTTGAATACTGTAATTGCCCCTATAATGCGGCATAAGTCCTCCAAGGACATGGTGCAGTACGCCTCTTTGTGGTCAAGTCCGCAGGATATCCATAAAATATACCTTTGATGCAATGTGCATACATAAACCTATATGAATATCAATCAGCTCCCCACTCCCCTCGCCCTTCCCCTACTTGCTCCTCATTTATTCTCCTCATCCCGCTTGTCTGTAATTGCTTTCTTTCAACTCCTCTTTTTCTTTCGCTCCATCATCCCACCTGGCATCTCTTTCTTTTTTACTCTCTAGGTTCAGGTATTCCTGAGATGAAGACAATACTGAGAGGGGTGGTGCTGAAGGAATACCTGACTTTTAAGACGTTTGTGGCCAAAGTCATCGGTCTGACCTGCGCTCTTGGCAGTGGGATGCCCCTGGGGAAGGAGGTAAAGCCTTCTCCCTACATCTCTTTCCATCACAGTCTTTCTGGCTGTAAAAAAAAAAAAAAAAGAATTTAAGATAGATTTCAGATTCACATTTTTCTATTAAAGGAGATTAAAAAATCGTGCTTACCCTGGTATTGTGCTTAAGTCATGGGTGTAAAATTAATCAGGTGACTTACTGCTAATGTCCCATTTTAAGGGTAATAATGTTTCTAAACCTAAATATAAGCAGGGATCATGTATAATGCCCCTGAACTGGAGCAGCATCCTCTTGTCTCTGCTAAAAGGGGCTTTCAGTCACATCTTGTCTACTAACATGCTCATATCTCTCCATTCTGCCACTCAGGGACCATTCGTTCATGTCGCCAGCCTGTGTGCTGCTCTCCTCAGCAAATTCATGGCTGCTGTCTTCGGAGGGATTTACATGGTGAGGATGGTAACTCCAGCACATTAAACACAGATTTTACAGGCACACAGACAAAAAAACTCTGATGACTTCAAAGGTAATCTTACCTGAACGTTCACTGGTAATCAATTTTAAATCTAGGATTTTATTTAGGGCTAAATCATAATTATTATTACTTTTAAATATCAAATGATAAATGTATGTGTAATATTCTGAACTTTAATTATTTACAGAAGTTAGCTTAGTGTTGTAGCCGGGGGACAAGAAAAAACTGTCACTGTCAAAAACAATCACAACCATTTATCTAACATGGGCGGCTTTAAGTGCTATTGAGGCATTTTTGACCAAAATGGGAGCTGCTGCTGATATGGAATGTTTTGAAACCAAATCATTGTTAAAGTCGGGTCGTCTTTCAACCGAAAGGTTGAGAGAGGCTTCCCAGCTCCCGAGTCGCATGTGGAAGTGTCCTTTGACAAGACAGTTAGCGTCAGCGATGTGTGAATGTGTTTGAATGTGTTTGGTTTATACGGATGCACACTTTAAATAGCTGCCTCTTCCATCAGTGTGTGAATGGGTAAGTGTGACCTGTGGTGTAAAAAGCGCTTAGAAAAGCGCTACACAAGCTCAAATCCATTAACCATTCACCATCACGGTACTTCACATTAGGTATAAATATTAAGTGTTCCTAAATTATGATATTAGATATAAAACTGCATATTGTGTAAACTAGAATTATTACAATTGGAGGATGGAGCTACTCACCTAGCCTAGCTGCCTATCTTTATACCACACATTTGCTGTCTTGAAGTAGTCTGGGTATGCTAAGCTACTAGTTGCTATTATTTATTTATTTTTTAACTTAAAGCTATTTTTTTAAATGCACTTTCACATCAGTACGCTGCTCAGTACAAACATGCAAAGGTTGCTCTTTTTTCTTCTGGTAAGGAGGGTTTTAAATAGTGCATTTTACTGGTGTGGATATATGTTGTTTAACACTTTTTCCAGTGGAAATTAATTGTAGTTGTACTAGAAATACTGTACCTCTAAATTCCATATTGATTGATTGATTGATATTTTAATTTTGCACATGTTAAAAAGAGATAAGCAGATCAATAAAAGACAAAAGCAATGGAAAGTAATAAAGTGAACCTAAACAACTATATTAGCTATGTATTCATCATGAGTCAAACAGTTGAAGGGGCAGCATGAAGTTTACACTGACTTTTTCCCTACCCCCTTCCCCTTATTTTCACAACTAAAACACAAATATCTTTCCTGTGTCATATCTTCAGATGTCATGAGAATACTTCAGAAAGCAGAAAGCAAAATGCCATGCAGAAAAATGTTTTTTTTTTTTTTTTTTTCAAACACTTAAAAAGGTTTAATTGCCCCTGTTCTGCTTACTCCAGAGGCCAAAAAGAGAGCTTAACAACATTTTCCATCATGGGAATTTCTTGATCATTGTGTCTCTCTTTTTGATTGGTCTTAGTATGAAGCTCTATAAATTTAACACAGACACATCAAAATCTTTTCCCCCCCACCCAAATGTCTTTGATGTTTACTTGACTTTCTGCCGTTCCTAGGGCTCACACTCTCACCTCCACACATGTGAGACCACACCCTGGCCTTCTGTTTATTCCTGTTCTGGACAGTATGCTGTGTGCGCCTCCGCCATGCATCAACAGCACCAACATCGCCATCAGTGAGGAGGAAGATAGACTGCAGCAATGTGGAGAGAGAAAAGCTCCTGTCAGCACTGTTAGAAATAGTCCACGGGTTGACTATGTGGCTCTGTTAAACATAATTACTCGGAGGAAATGTTAATTCAGTTCACAGTGGAATCAAGACTGTGATTGCTGGAGCTCTCTCTCTCTCTGTCTCTGCTTGTGTGATTTTGTGTGGTTTGGATAATAAGTTGGATGTCTTCCAGTAGCGCCAACAAAAGGTAACCTCTACACTCGCACGGGTCACAGTCACGCGTATTTATGTCTGTTTGTTTTTCTCACTTTCACTGCTGAAGGAAGAGCCCTTTGAGGGAAGCAAGGTACGAATGCACGAGTCAGATAGCTACTTTATTGCCAATTCCATCGTCATCAATAATCCATGCTGTCCATTTCAGAAGCTGAGATAGATTGATGCCTTTTCCATTCGTGTGCGTTGTTTGATGCTGTTCAGTGAACCGTCACAGCGACCCATCGATCTGTGTTGCCTTTGCTTCTATACAAACATCTCATGCCATGATTTCAACACTCAATCCTGGCTTTTCAATTACTGCCTCCCGTATCCCACCACTCATAAATGCTGTCTTATTGAATTTGACAAAACACAGCAGCAGCTTTTACAATAAAACTGTTTGCATTCGTAAACAGTTGGTGGCTTTGTCTTTCATGAAAAATACAATTGTCCTCTTCTGTGTGTTTGTGGCATTTGCTTGTGTATGTACATTACACCTGTTTGGATTTGAGTGTGTGTCTGTGTGTTTGCTTGATTGCACGGCCATGTGTTTTTTTGTGTTTGTGTGTGTGTGTCTATCTGTGTGTACATCTTATTCTTTTTGGACAGAATGAGCTGAGGAACACAGAGATGCTGTCGGCTGCCTGTGCTGTGGGTGTTGGCTGCTGCTTCGCTGCTCCTATCGGAGGTAAGAAACACATGACTGAACCCTCTGATTGAATGCTATCTCATTATGTTAGAAAGTTACAGGGTCTAATTGGATGAGGAGAATATTTACCCAGGTGGCAGGACAGTGGATGCCACTCCTGGTCAGTCTATCAGTCTTGCTTTGAATCATAGCAGCAAAGTGTGCCTCAGCTGCTATTGAACAGACGGGTGTTAAATTCTGCACCAGTATTCGTCTCAAAGGATGTTTCAGATTGTTTTTGGTGACCCGGTGTCCTTACCTCTAGCACCACTGTAAGTTTAATAACATCATTTATCAAGCTTTAAAGGGAGTAAAGCTCATTGTTCAGCTGTCAGCCAAAAACAAACATTGATTTGTGGCTGCGGTTTTTGGTGAAAAAGCTCTAAAATCTAATTGTACCCAATACTTGATGAGGACCAAACACCAGACAGACATAGTGTTTAGCTTGAGGACAAAGTGGAGGATTTAGCAACTCAAAAGGTAATATTTTCCATCAGAAAAGAGCTAAACGAGGGCAAACAATATTAGATCAAAGGCCAGAAACACAACAATGGATGATTAATATGTTGCTGTTATCACAGACTGAAGTGTAAAAAAGCACATATTAACAAAAAAAAAAAAACTTATAATAAAGTGTGTAAATATTCACTGTGTCAATTTTGTTTTATCAACATCTAAAGGTCACACTGTGTATTTTGGAAAGATGTATCATAAACTACAGACATTTTTTTTTGCTCTCAGTGGGATGAAGTCTTTTGACCTTAAACATTTTTTAGTTTTACTTTGAGTGAAAATAAATATAAGCATGTTATTTTGCGTTCAGAAAGATTTTGGACTGTAAACATAGCTATTTGTAGAAAGTGTGAAAAAAGAATGATACAGACGTGCTTGTAGATGTGAAATCCTCGTCCATTACTTGAATAAAGGCTCTGTGGGAACGTCTCATGTGTATTTATTACTTTTGTGCAGGAGTGCTGTTCAGTATCGAGGTAACATCAACGTTTTTTGCTGTGAGGAACTACTGGAGGGGCTTCTTTGCTGCCACCTTCAGTGCCTTCATATTCAGAGTGCTGGCAGTGTGGAACCAGGAGGAAGGTAACATTTCAAGTCCAGATTTTTTTTTATAGCTACTTTCTTCTTAAAATAAATCCCTATGTGGATTTGTTTTTTCATCTGATGAATTAAAACTTTGTATATCATGTGGTTTGAATTTATAAAACTTTTTATACAACATACCCAAAATGCAGAAAAAACTCAAATTGTAGTCAGTCCCTTTTGAACGTCTGTTTAATGTCTCTAGCTGACATATTGTAGTATATGGTCTGCACAGATTCAGAACAGTCCTCTCTCTCCTCAGAGACCATCACTGCTCTCTTTAAGACACGTTTCCGTCTGGACTTCCCGTTTGACCTTCAGGAGCTGCCTGCATTCGCCATCCTCGGGTGAGTGGGTTTCTTAGGACTGATTGCACATTAAACTGATCCCAGAGCAGTTTGGCGCCTGAGTTACCCAAGAGATCTGAGCTTTGAAAAAGCCTTGTCCTCCTCCTTGGTCTCCCATGGAGAGTCTGAAGGTTGATTTTTATTTGATGAATGGGGCATGAAATTAACTTTTTACTCTACTGATTGCAATTTGAGACTGTGTCCAGATCACTACATACCAAACATTTTAATAAAAGACAAATACATTTCTATTGTGAAAGAGCCCACAAACATCGACTTACTCATCCTGATTCAGTGTAACTGTAGGTTTTTCAGTGGCAGTGTGATTCCTTCTCATTTTAGCTGGGGGTTTTTTTTGTACCAGGTTGCTTTTTGTGCTCCCTCTACAGACCAGGATGTGTTTTTGTCTGTTTGTAGGATTGCCTGTGGTTTTGGTGGGGCACTGTTTGTCTACCTGAACCGGCTGATCGTGGAGTGCATGAGGAAACAGAAGACCATTAACAAGTTCTTGCTAAGAAAGTAAGTATCTGCACTCAATGTTGTCTTAGAGATATATAGATAGTAAGGCAGGAGACACTTAGCTTCATCAGCCTGTGAACACCTCTCAACTTCAATTATAACATATTATATCCTATTTGTCTTAACAATTTTATACACATTAAACAGAAGTGATATAAGCCCGCTTTTAATTATAATTAATTCCATTAAGCTGTTTTGCAGATGCACAAAATGACAAAAGAAAACCTGTGAGTTAGTGAGCTTAAGATGTGCTGCCATATGGATCTTTTTAGCTTTTGATAGAGTCAGGCTGTCTTCCTGTCATGATGCTGTGCTAAGCTAACCGCCTGGTATCTGGAGTTTCATATTTATATGACAAAATATGAGAAACTTCTCTTGATGTGCTCATCTAAATCTCTGCATTTCAATCAGTTATACTGTAAATAGATCCAAACAAAAGCAAATTCCTGCTCATTTGAGCCTAGATTTTGGTTTAAATTGTCCTTGGTGTCTTATGTCACAATGTTAGTAGAGGTATGGGAGCTGTAAGTAAAGTTGTTGTATGAATTTGGTTGATACAGCTTCACAATGTTTAGTTCTTCTCACCTAGAAATCAAGTATGCACAAACAGAACAGTGTGACAGGCACACCCATTAATGACCCCACAGTCCATCTCTTCCTGTCAGGCGTCTGGTGTATCCGGCTCTCGTCACCTTGCTGGTCTCCACACTCACGTTCCCTCCGGGCTTTGGACAGTTCATGGCTGGACAGGTGAGAAAATACTTTCACACACTTAAGACAGTACGATAGCATGCCGGTAAAAGATTGATGATGATTTTAAGTGAGAGTAGGTGTCAGGTTAAGAGTTGTTTTGTGACCACATTATTGGATGGAAAAGGCAGTCTAATAGCTGTCATGTTGCCTACAGAAAACTGATGTGTCTTGTCGCAGCATTGGTATCATTTAATAGTTAGGCTTTTCTACCCACGCTTCTTAAGTCGTGATTGGTAACAGTTGAGTTTTAAGAGCTTAATACAAAACTTACTAGATGCAACATTGCAGTATTTTTCTGATTAAAATATAAACCAAAAGAGAGCCTCCGATTCAGATGAATTGGATGCATCCATAAAGTAGTTCAGCTGTTAGACTTTGACATTTGCCTAAAGGGTAATGTAAAGTCTGAGTGTTATCAAGCAGAGATGCAGAGCATCATCCAGCCTCACCAATATAAAAATAAAACATTTTTTTCAGTCTCTGCTTTTACTATTAAAAGGATAAAGACCCTAAATCGAATAATTAGAAATATTTCTTTTATTTAGTTTCTTTTCAATCCAAGTGCATAGATCACAAAAAAGCCACTTATTTCACCATGGTTATCAACCCAGTATCAATTCAGTAATATCATCATGCAGGTTTCATTCATTATAAACAATCTATGAAAGGGAAAAACTGTGAATACATCAACCAATATCAACCAATTGTTGACCTTTTGTGACCAACAGGGTCTGTACGGTTTTGGGGGGAAGGGGGGAATGGAAACAAACATTCAGAAACTTTTTTTTTCTTGTTGACCTGTCAGCTGACGCAGCACGAATCCCTGGTCGCACTTTTTGACAACCGCACATGGTGCCGACAAGGCGTTGCAGAGGAGTTTGACTACATCAACCACCACCATCATGCCTGGAAACATCCCCAGGTCAATGTCTTCATCACACTCATCCTCTTCATCGTCATGAAGGTAGGCTTTGGACTTAATGTATAGAAAATATGAAGGATGTTATGACTTTTTTTGGTTTGTCTCACACACTCTCTGTTTCAGTTCTGGATGTCCGCCGTAGCCACCACCATGCCGGTTCCATGCGGAGCCTTCATGCCAGTATTTCTCATCGGTTAGTATAATCTACTGTTTCTTTCTCTATAATTGTGGGAATACTTTGAAACGTCTCCTCTCTCTGTGTGATTGCCAGGTGCAGCATTTGGTAGACTTGTAGGAGAAGTTATGGCAACCATGTTTCCTGATGGAATACATGCAGATGGCAGCGTATACCCCATAGTTCCTGGTGGATATGCTGTTGTAGGTGAGTTTATATCCATAGATTACTGCTTTATATTGATTATACGGGCTTGCTTTAAGTCAGTATATTTAGACATATACTGGTATTTTTACACTGTGTAGTTAAAATTCAGAATGTGTTTCTAATTTGTCTTCACATCTGATTTTCAAGCCACTTCCTCTCTCTCGTGTGATTGAAATTGTTGCCGCTGCCAACCTGCAGCCATTGTCATCACTTCATATTAGCTAAAAATGTGTCTGATGAAAATTGATCCCACTTGAACAACACTAAAAAAAAGAACGTAATTGAATTCAAAGCTGCCATGGTTGCCCCTCTCTCAGTTTGTGTGACAGGAATGTGTAGATATTGTGAATTAGAGTGACATCCTGCAGAACATCTTTCATTGTGATTCGCTGCCTTGCAGTAAACTCGTGATTAGTAATGCACAGATATTGTTGTACATTTATAAAACAGATGAATGATTGATCAATTCCTTACTCAATCCTTTTCCATTAGCTGTGTGTGAATTAAATTCTAAAGTGAGCAGACAGTAAAAATATTTGTCTTTAATTCACTTCCTACGCAGGTGCTGCAGCATTGTCTGGGGCAGTCACCCACACTGTATCCACAGCGGTCATAGTGTTTGAGTTGACTGGTCAGATCTCCCACATTCTGCCTGTGATGATTGCTGTGATCCTGGCCAATGCCGTGGCCCAGTCGCTCCAACCATCGCTTTACGACTCCATCATACGAATCAAGAAACTTCCGTATCTGCCTGAGCTGGGCATGGGCCATCACGAGTGAGTCTATGTTTGCTATGCTTGCATGACCCGCCAGTTTTTGTTTTTTCTTGAATGGACTGAGTTGTTCCATGTTTCATTTTTAAGTGATATAGCATCTTGTTTTCTTCCCATCTCTCTTGTTTTTCTCACCTCCACCTCCTTACTCACTTTAACTGTATCCTCCATCTTTCAGGAAGTATAATATCCGTGTGGAGGACATCATGGTCAGGGATGTGCGCTTCATTACTCTAAGCTCTTCCTATCGAGACCTGCAGGAGATGCTTCTGACTGGTCAGCTCAAAACACTGGCCCTGGTTGAATCTAGAGGTAAGCACAAGGCAACAAAAGAGAACCTCTTTTTGATTCACCATATTCTTGCAGCAACCATTCCCCCCTGATGGTCACTTGCAGAAAAGCAAGCTTGAATGATCATTTCGTTTTATTGCTCCCTTCCAGGATGCAGGTACTTGAAACATGAAGAACCTGATATATTTTTTTATCATTACACAAATACGTTAGCATCCAACTACCACTCTCTAGCCAATACAACTTTGAGCTCACAGGTCAAGCAAAGCTTTTTATAGCGTTTTAGCAAGTGATGCCCATCTTCTTGTATTGTATGACTCATTCATTTTGTAATGTAACTCATGAAAGGGTAAGGTTTGCTAGCTAAGAAGATACGTTTGTTACTTTAACCATTGAATAGGAGGTTTCACCTCTAATATGGTATTGAGTAGCTTATCAATCCTTAGCAAGCTAGTTTCAAGATAGCTAGCTAGTATGGCTGTAGCCTCGGAATTAACACATTTTCTGTCGTATCGTTTAACTCACTAAACACTCAAATAGGCCAATGAGTACAAGATCAGCTAGCTAACCCCGTGACCTAACATGTGACCAAGAAGTTACAGCAGCAGTATAACACAACAGTATTTGAGCTTTCAAACCATGCATGTGATTTCAAAAGAAAAATCAGTATGGTCAATATGATACAGAGCTGGGTATACTGTAGCATAAGCACTGTGTAGCCATATCAGTAGCCTACCTTTTAAAGCTCCTGTGAGGAGTTTTAGATGGTTATGTAACGGACGGAAATTAAATCTGATGCCTCTATATGACCTACAAAAGCAAAAGGTGCCATCAAGAAGGAGATCAGTTCAGTCAACAGCTATTTTTATTGCCTTATAACGCTGCTGCTAAGTAAGCGTCATACATTGACAGCATGCTAAAAAACGGCCTTTATTCACATTTTTTATGTAAGAGATTCACATTGAGTCATATGTTTGACTATTAAAAGCAGTAGCGGTTGCTGTTTTTTTTTTGTTTTGATTGATCTTTGGTGGAGCTAATCTACATAGTGATGGAGCTCAAATCAATGTCAGAATTTCAATGTAATAATTATAACTATAAATTAGATTTTGATGTAAATTAGATATTGCGCTTTTCTGAATATTTAAAGATGCAAAATCAGCTACAAATACCAAACATAAGGCTATAAAGAATGCACTGACTCCTTTTGACATGGAATATTACACCAAGAATATGTGAAATACACTACTGCATGGTATTTCAATTTGTTTGTTGTCAGGCACACCTGCCAGCTACAACCCCCTGCGGTGCGCATCGCATGTCAATCTACTTACACAGTTTCCATATCTGGGAACTGTATTTCACAGTCAGTGAATTTAACTTCCCTGCCACCACTGCTGGTTAAAAGAAAGAAGGATGAGATTTTTCATTACAGAATAATGGCACTAGCGTGTATAGAACAACACCAGCAAAGAGATACTTTGAGAGATATGGCGTTGTCCACAGGGGTTGTCAACATTTATGAAAACCCTCTTGTTCCCTTACAAGTTTCCTGTTACCTATAGCTGCCTCTTTTTTTTCTCTCTCAGAGTCCATGATCCTGCTGGGCTCCATAGAGAGGCTGCAGCTCCAGTCTCTACTCTCTCTTCAGCTGGGCCGCCAGAGGAGGCTGGAGTACCTTCACCAGCTGGCCCAAGACAACGGCACCACTGATCATCTTCCCAGCCTGACCACTGACAGCACCCCCAGCTCTCCTTGTGCACACACCCACATAAACGCCAACACTCGCCAAGTGGTCCGCTTCCTGGTGAGCACCCAACAGGTGTGAGAGGCGTCCGGGGGCGCCAGGGCTGGGCTGGGGCTAAGTCTGGCTTGGGTTGGGTTGTAGAAGTAGAATCAAGTTGACACAGCATGTGTGAAGCATGTAGCAGTAGGTAAAGGCACAGATGGGTTAATTTTTGGACAACTGTTGGTAAGTGTTGAAAAAGTGTTAGTTTCTTTCTACATCTACAATGTTAACACGTGTCTTCTGTGTCTCTGTCGTCTGTGCCCTTACCTGTGCTGTCCTGTTTGTTTCCATGCCTGTGCTTGTATTTGTCTTTGTCTCTACTTGTGTGTGTGCATGTGTGCATCTGTCTGGCTTTCCCTGTTAATATTTTTTCCATGTAGATCTCCACAGAGGAGTCTTCCTCCTTCAGCCCAGTCGTTTCCAATGTTCAGCTTCCTCTGAAATCTGCTTTGAAAACGGTGTCTGCCATCAGCGACACAGAGACACCAAATAGTATGTACATTACCCTGCTGCAAAACACACAAACGCACACAAAGAAAATCACGAGAACAGACAAAAACTGATTGGAAAAAAGTAATGTATGTTGAGTAAATTGAATAACAATCGCTTGCTTTTGTCCCCCAGGCTCTCAGACCCTCTCCTGTGCAGAGCAAGACAAGGAACTGCTGGAGGTGAGAAAGAAAGTAGGATGTAATCTTTGTGTGGGTGCAACTGTGCTGTATGAATGTGACACTTATTGTATTCGTGGGGGTGTGTGTGTGTGCTCTCTCTGAGTCCACGCATAAGCCGCCCGCCATCGCTTCCTGCTCCTCCTGCGTACAGGCAGGATCTTCCCACAGGCAGCAGGGTTTTCCTGTGTGATCTCATTCTGTGGTTGTGTATTTGGCTTTAAAACTTCTGTGAGTCATGGCCCCCCTCGCTACACAACACATTCACTGCCAGTCAAACGCTTTCTTTTAAACATCCCACATTCAAGCATTTTTAGTTGAGCAACATGTGATGCTGTCATACAGAGTGGTTGAAAATGCTGTTTATTTTATTGCTTACAAACGGGTCTGTCTGCCTTTTATCAACTCACTGTTCAGTTAGTCTGAAATTCATTTTGAAAAAATTTAACGTTTTTATAATATTACTTTTTGGGGCGTTTATTTGATAGGATAAATGTAGACAGACAGGATTTGTGGGAAGAGAGAGTGGGAGATGACATGCACTAATCGGCGTCAGGATCGGGAGTCGAACCTGCGACAGGTGCAACGAGCCTACTATTCCAACTGAGCTAAACCAGGGCCCCTACAATCAAACTTCTCATGACACAAGTGACAATCACAAGTCAACCTCAAAAGTACACAAAAGGGGCCATGTTTGAATAGATACAGTGATGTTTTCAGTAACAGAAACTGCCTTTTCTTAACACAATTTCTCATTCTTGTTACTGAACAGTGCTGATGGTCCAAAGCAAAGGTGTCTTCAGACAGTCTCAGAGGCAGAGGAGAATCAAAATACAATAAAAGAGGGCATCAGCTGAAATCCTTGATGTATTAATTACTAAAAAGTGACTTACTGTGGTTTGGATTGAAAGCATTTAGTTATTTGACCTTATAAGTGAACAAAGGAAACTATTTATCAACCATTTAGAGGCACGTACTGTAGATACTGACTTATTTTCTTGCATAGGGCTCCACCAGCACCTTCTGTGTTTTCTTTGAACATACCCAGTGACCCGCTAAAGTCCTAGCATCTCAGTAAGACCGTACTGTGGTAAAGTGATGCTTTGGGCTGCATGCTAAAGCAATCTAGAATGTTTACAATACAAATGTTAATACCCTGATGTTAACAGGGTAAAATTGTTTAATATGATAAAATTAGTTCAGTATTTGATCATGCTTACATTTGCTAATATGTAGCTAAGAATGATAGGAATATAATTACATTATATTATTATTACATTTTAACGATTTATCAGAGGATCAATATTTTATCCTCGTTACACTTTATCATTAGGGAGACATGAATTTTTCCACAAATTGGAGTTCTTATACATCTAGTAATTGTTCATGAATAATTATTTAACCGTTTAGGAACCACTGCTTTGTAAAGCTTGATGGTGGATGGCAAATGCTGAATATGAAGTTTGTAATATTGTTCATGATAAGGGAAAACTTGGGGATTAAACAAAAATGCTTAATGTGGTGTGTTTAAAAAAAACAATCTATCACCCAATGTTGCATTAACATTGGCTTCCTTGTACAGACTTTGTGCCTCCATCGTCATTAGTGGTGTAGTAATTATATCCTTTCAGCAACATTGTGCTCACATCACAACCACTTCTCCCTGGGAGACTTGGATCCAATGTTGCCGTGACACCGTGGAAGGGACTAAGACTGTCCGGTTGTGCTGATGTGGTGTTAATGTTGTGCTGTGTTGATGCCTTTTCTCCCAACCTGGAAGAGCCCGGTTGGGCCGGCTCCTCCTGAAAAAAGAAAGCCCAAGTCCAAACGTGTGAGGATCTCCATGGCGGTAAGATTGTCTGCCGCCTAGCGACTGTTGCTAAGTAACCGTTGCCTTGCGACACACACGTAGTGAGTGCTGGACCAAAATATTTGTAGTGCACAGACCGAAGCATCAGAGTGGCTTTGCAGAGAGAGCGAGAGCAAGTTTGTACCTCTCAGTGTGTGTGAGAGAGATGGGGCGAAGTGATAAAAGGTTTGATTGCCTTTTTCATTGGTCTGAACCAAATGTTTCTCTGATGTCTAACACCATTCTGTGTGATTGTGTCGGAAATTGTTTTTTTTTGTTTTTTTTAAGTTGTTCACAGTTAATTTTGTCTTTGGTGTTATCAGTATGATTTTTTGGATAACTGGTCACTGTTTGACCCTTTATCTCAGAAACTCTGAACACAAGTACTCAGTGTATTTTATCATACTGAACTAACACCAACAAACAAATCTTATTTTTGCATTTTTACAATGAGCGGAGACTCTTGACTTGCAATCAGAAATTATTTATTGTTGGTTCCTGTTTTTTCACTTTCTCAATAAATGAGAGCTTTATGTTAGTTGTGACCTTTTCTTTTTTTTAGCTTTCTTGTCCATGTTTTATGTTTCCTTTTAATGAGACTGTTAGTAAGAATGAGGAAAACAATTATGGGAGCTTATTCCTCTCATGTGTTCATATACTTGGCCAATAAAGCTAACCTTGTTTCTGTTCCTCAGATTGCTTGCTGTATAATTTATTTCTTGGTGTGATATTTATTTAAAATGTATTTAGTGGTGGAGTCACACATCTTTGAATGGACTCAAAGGGACTATGTATGTCTCACTCCTTTGTTTCCTTTAGGACTCGGCTGAAGTGGAGGACTGTATGACTCCATCAGAGGTGAGACAACATCAACATAGCATGAGTTTTATGATGATTTTATGATCTAAAGTGTTTGAAGTCCCTTGTTATTTCTTTTTATTGCAGATAGCAGAGTGGGAGGAGCAGCAGCTCGATGAACCGGTGGATTTTAAAAACTGTAAGATTGATCCTGCCCCTTTCCAGCTGGTAGAGAGAACATCTCTTCATAAGGTACAGTATCAGAAGATCAGCTTTGACCACACTTTAGAATAAACCAGAGTTTTTGACCATAAATGCACATCGCCCTCATCAATCTATTAATGTTTTTTTGTCCGAAATCACAAAAGCAGGAATGACTTAAGCTGAAATTGAAAGAGACAAGTAAATTCTATCAGTTTTTGAACTTGGGTGCAGTACTTGCAGAAATGTGTCAAGTTACTGTCCATAACTGGCTGTGCGTCACTGCAGATGGCAAAGAATGCAGCGTCTGGGATGACTCATAATGCTTACATGTCTCTTTTGCCTTCTGTTGACTTCTTCAACAATGTTTTCACTGACCAACAGTTCAGTAGATGCTTTATGAAACGGATCTTTGGCTTGGTCCCTTCTCCGCCTCGGAGTGTTATTTTAATCAACCCCAAAAATGTCTTCTAAAACCCTAGAGCAGTACCCAGATGTTCACATCATAGATTGTGGCAGCTGAAACTGTTTACTATCAGTTACTTCTTCTGTTGTGCTCACCCATTACTACTACACATTTTCATTGACCCAGTGCACCTGAAATCAGCTGTTTTGATTATATTTGTGTATGAAGGCGTGTGCTTCCCACACAGAGCGTACTCTCAGTGAAGTGTTTGTTATACAATCATTAGGTCGTAAAACACTTATACAGATTTTGTTTTTATTTTATTTTTTGCATCAGCCTACATAAAAATACTTACACACTCTCATCAGGATCCCAGCAGCGCTGTTTTGGACATATTGGCGCTTCTGCAGTCTCTTGCTAGTGATCCAGATGCTAGTGCATTTCAGTAGTCCAGCCTCGAGGAGACAAATGTGTAGGCGAGCTTCTATGTGTCCGTTAGGGTGAGGGACAAAGGTCTGCAATGTTCTAGGTGGTAGAAGGAGTGTTTCTAAACAGGTGAAGTAAAAGTCCACTCTTACACCTCGGAAAGTGACCAATGATGATTGGAAGGTAATGTCCAGTAAAGATTATTACTGGTTATGTGGGATGATTGGACCTGGTGTGGAGTGCAAATTAAAATAGTGTTAGTACGTATTTTCATGGATTCATTCATCTTGATAATTTTGTGGACATATCTTTAAATTGTGTCAACCATCTCACAGTAATTCTACTTTTGGGTCTGTGAAGCGTTAACCTTATATGGGTGAAGCACCTAAGTAGTAGCAGATCTATGTTTGGATAGGAGCCAACTATATGTTGTCAGCAACTGTTTGCTAGACAGAGAGTCTACATCTGTTACGTATACAAATCAGTGACATGTCATCTTTATTGCTTTATAGTGATGTACCCAAATGGAAAGGAATTTGTGGGCTGTACCTTCTAGCAGAATATAAGCCACACTGTGTGATGAAGACTTGGCCATTTTGCCACTTTGCCAATGATTGTCAATGACTGTGAGATCTTGGTCAGCATGGGTCAGCGATGGTCTGCACTTTGTCAGCCATGTGTGTTGTGTTTCTGTGTTGTCTGACCATGGCTGAATAAATCTAAGATGATCCACAGTCTGTTTCACGATTTCATCATTGTCCATCTACTACAGAAATAACCCCCACCTAACAAATAGCTTACGTTTTTAAACTGTTGAGTTGTGTTGTTGTTGATGTTAAACTTCAATGCCAGCCAGATGTTGAATTAATCAAAACCTCTGAACATGAATGTTAGCCAATGACACTCACCATCTTTCTTCTTACTGAAAGGAGAATGAGAGCGAATGTCTCAACTGCTTTCAGTTTCACCTTCATTTATAAAAACTGCAAGCAAATGGTTGGTTGGTGTCCAAAAGCGTATTTTGGGTCCACTGTCGCAGTGACCATATCAAAATTGGAAAAAAAACAAAAAAACATGCTGTCTGTTCCTGACATAGAAGGCTATATGACCCTAAAATACCCCTTGAGTCTGTTTCCAGGTCATGATCCATCTCTCCTCCTCCACAGACTCACACCATCTTCTCTCTGCTGGGGCTGGATCACGCCTATGTGACCAGCATGGGACGCCTGGTCGGAGTGGTCTCTCTGAAAGAGGTATGCATGTGTGAATGTCCTTTAGTTATTGAAGCTTCTCATTTGATTTGTTATTCTGTATATATTTATCTTCTTGATCCCTTTTCCTGTTTCTCTTATTTTTCTTTTTTTCTTTTTTTTACACGTGTTCTACTCTCTCTGGCCGTTTACTGTCTTTTTTTCTTTCTGGCTTTGGTTTTGTCCAGCTGCGCAAGGCCATTGAGGGCTCAGTGACAGTAACTGGGGTAAAAGTGCGCCCTCCATTGGCCAGTTTCCGTGACTCTGGTAACACCACAAGTGTATCCGAGGTAACTGAACTACACAAGCTGTGCCTTCGCCACAGAGGGCTCTCATTGCCAAGGGAACCAAACCTCCCTGACGTGGAGGATCAGCCAGATCTCTCGTATAAAGAGATCCCGGTCAACTTCACAGACCAAACGAATTTGCAGTTTGAAACCAGCCCAGGGGATGATACAAATGATTCGGCTGAGTTGGTACTCCAGGAAAGCCCCTCATTCACAGAGGACCAATCAGATTTTACTTTTGACTGTAGCCCCTCCCACACCGAGGAAACAGAACTGGCTTGTGACTATGAACCCCCCAGCCAAACTTCTGAGCCAGATGAAACAGAGCAACAACAGAGGAGTCCATCTCCGAACAACAAGGACCAATTAGAACTTGAGGGAGAGGGGAGCCCTACCATCTCTGGGGATCAATCAGAGTCATCAGAGGCGATCCGTACTCTCGCTCCATGAATGTTTACGTTTATTACTCTTCTAGAGGTCGCTCACAAAAGTCCAGCCTAGATACCTGTGTTTCTAATGTTGTTGTGGCAGGAGTGAGTGGGTGAGAGTGAGCATGAGCTGATGTAAGATGTAGTTTCAAACTGTGTAAATGTGGTGATGAAGCCGGTGGTATTCTTATTTTTAACCTCCCATGAACTGAAGATGGGCTTGTCTCTGACTCTTTTTGACTTCCATGGCTCTTGAATTCCCATTAACAACATAATTCTATCAATGAGAACTCCTTGGACAAACACTCAAGTCTTTTTCACATATACAGTAACACAAAGTGCACCTTAAATATCTGAGGTTGCTGTCTTTTTAGTGTTGTCATTTGATCAAGGGCTGGTGTAAACTAAAGACTGAAGCTTGAAAATGAAAGAAAAATTGGGTTTGTGCAGTAATAGAGAAGTGATCTTATCAGACCTTTGTAGCCAGCTGTCCATTTCTAAGGTTAGCTTCTCAAGGCTACATCAGCCAAGTCACATGATGGACTTTGTGCTGAGGATAAGGGGACCATGCACACATTGACTAAACAAGGACAAGATGCCTAATGGAAATGGCTTCTGTGCTCCAAATTTCTGCAGAAGCCCCCACAGGACTCCTTTGGAGACATGGTGGTACAGTAGGTCTTCTACAAGTCCAAAAACACATGTTGACTAAACCAGCAAACGCCTATGACCACCCAGTATAGGATAAAAAGCTTGTTCACTGCTTCACAGCCAGGATGGAAACTGCATTGTTCCTCCTTTATCTAAGGTTCCACAATTGACAGTGACTTTTGGTTCACTACCTCGGGAGAATCTTTACCTGGGAGGCTGAGTAGTGTTATACGTTGATTATTATTATTTTATCTTTGAAGCACATCCTGTCTCATTTTAAAAAAATGGGACCTATAAGCTCGGTCTACTACTCCACAGGCATCGACTCCAGTCCTCTATGAAAAACTGAAGAGGTGCGCCAGCATAGACAGCCCAACAACATCAAGACCCTCCAGCATCAGTAGTCACCTTGCCACTAAGGAGCTTCTGGACTACCTCAGTAACCTCTGTCAAGGATAGGGATTAGACTCCCCACAGATCTTAAAACTCTGGGGTTCTGTGTCAAGTGTTTCCAAAAGTTTTCGTCCACTGCTCATCTGAGTCAGCACTTTTCATTTTATTCTGAAAACTGCCTGAGCCAAGCCCTGCTTCCCGCTCCTGAGTTTCTCTCCACAACATGCAGTCATATGAATTTGACCCATATATTGTTTTTGAGAACTTTATCTGTGAGGCTCAGCGGGGGGGGGGGGGGGAGCGTCCTGAGTATTCCTACACCTGCACAGCATCACTAACCCTGGGCTAATCTGGAGAAGCAGACAGTCCGACCCTGCTCCAGATATTTGGTTTCAGAAACAGTTTTCTTTATTAGTCATGAGGGCCAACTACTTTTAACAGATGCAGTTGCTTAATCACAAGAGTTGGCTTTTCATGCCATGTTTCCCATCCATCTGTCACATGGCTTATACTGCACTGGACCCCCTTACTTTTTTTGGGGGGGGGGGGGGTCTGCCCTATGGGTCAAGACCAAGCCAGCAGATGTTCACTGTGTGTTCTTTTAACACAGATCTGGCTCCAGAGGGGTCTCCTGTTTCCAGTTTCCAGGCAGAGTAGTGCACCTTATACTTTGCTGACTCATTGGGGGTCTTGTGTACTACTTTTAGTCTGGACCTATTTAAACCTAGAGAGCATTCCTATTTGTTAAATGACACTACAGCCCATTTCCCAGGGACATTCAACTCATCCTTGGTTAGAAACTTGAGTTTTTACTGGGATAGAAGAATTACCTTTCAAAATCAGTTTAATTGCATCTCAGTCAATTCTGATTGTGTGATACAGTTAAAAGCATGAGAAGGTCTATCGGTTGACCCTTGCAATTCATTAATGGCAAGAAATTGAGTCAAAAAGTCTATGAAGCACTCTTAAAACATGTATGTTTTGTTCCATCTCTTTTTTCCGCAACATGTTTTCGTACTATCTGAGGTCCAAACTGCACTATTTTTAAGTCAATAAATCTGACTGGTTGAAAAAATATCACAAATTTGGGTTACAATTTTCGTAAAGGAGTTGGTGGTTGTTCCTTAGGCTAGACCAGTTGAGAACCACTGTTCTAGTTTCAATAGAAGAATCCACAATAATGTCCTTAAATGGAGTCAGTTTATCACTCAAACTTGTTGGGACCTCTTTTTAGCTGCACATACAAACTAATGGGCTATGTTTATGGCTAAAACAAAGGAATATGTTGAGCAGTAAAATAAGTTCACCAAACGATTTTAATTGGCCAAATCATTTTCTCTAACAGCTGATTTTTTTGTGTGCAAATTAATTTTACAAGGGAAATACTGAATTGTTGAGACCAATTCAAGTTGTTGTACTAGAAGTTTTTATGTAAAAAAGAGTTTTCATGGAATTACAAGATTGTAACAACAACTAGAGAACCAATGTTCATTGTAACAAAAATTAAAACCAGTGCAATGATGGACTTAATGTTCATGGGATTTGTTGAAAATAAGGAAAAAGTAGAATATTACCAGCTTCATCTTTCCAATGAAAGTGTTTGTGCGTGTGTGCGTATGCGTGTGCGCGTCACATAAAGACTTTTTCTTGCCATGCTTCTCTTGTACGGACTCATATTTTGACTCTTCATGCCAAAACGACATCCTTTAAATATAACTTCAAACATAATAAAGAAAGAAACATGCCACGAAAAAAGCAATGTAGGGGGAAAGGACAGGAGAAAATAATAGAGAAGCAAGCACAGAAGAACAAAGACAGGCACAGTGACGGTATGAATTCAACAACTACCTATCCAACTAACATTGAATATAGCGGTGTTGGTTTAATGTTTGCTGATATGCAATAAATATAGCCTACAGTTATAATGCAGTACATGAAGATGATATACCAATGTCATCATTAGTTGCCCATATTCAACTGTTTACAGCACTGCAGTCTTGGTAGAGATACATGTAATAGCATTTCATTGTCACTATTCTTTATGTCTATTTCACAATCAAATGTTGGTGTTCACGTCAGCCCCCCCCCCCCCAAAAAAAGAAAAACAAACAAACAACAAAAAAAAAACCTAAATCAGATGGGATCTACTGTTCACACGATGACAAAGGCAGCTTCCAAAGGTCCGCCAAACTTAGCACAGGGCTCCAAATAATGAAGCACATTGTAATTACCATGAGTTTGATTTATTCAACATTTAGCCTTGTTTGGCTTTATAGCGGCCGATTCGATAAGGGCAAAGTAGACTGTCAGTCTGTCTTGTCACTTGAACTGCCTCTACAGTTTCTGCTATGTCTGTATTTACTGTGTTTAATGTGTTTATAGCATGATAAAAAGGACAAAACTTGAGCTCTGAGTGAAAGGAGGACACTGGCTGTTGTACAGAGCACACACACACAAAAAAAAAAAAAAACACGCAAACACACACATATACACAGTATATACGCACACATGTATACGGCCTGTAGATATTAACACCATATCTTCCGCGTATCTTAATCCAGCCTGGCATCTAACGCAATGTTGAGAAATGTAACGGCTTTATGAAGCACAGTGGCACACGAGTTCAAAAAGTGTTGTAGAGCAAAAATGTGTGTGAGTTCTTGTCAAGACCTTAAATGGATGTAAGTAATTTAGCTTCATGCAACATTTTTCAATATTATTTCAACCTTATGTGATTTCATTGCAGCATTATTTTATGTCTGTGTTAATATTTGTGCAAAGACTTATTCATGTCCCAACATTTTTGTTAGCGTATAGAATGTGGAGTAGTGGTCGCCATATAAGGTAAAGTCTAAGGAGTTAAATGTAGAGCGTGCATAAGCTAATTTGCAGCGTATCTAGTTAAGCAATAAGTCTGTAGTATCTCCCTTTATATGGCACTGGCCTGTATATGCTTTGTACATATGAACATACATGAATGAGATATACGTACATGCTTTTGTATATAGGAAGATTATGCATTTGAAATCCAACAGCCATTGTTATTTTTCAGAGGACATGAAATTGTTTTTGTACATGAGTGAATGATTAAATAATAAAAATTAAGAAGTTGTGTTTCTAACCTGTGTGTTCTGATTGTTTTTTGTAGGGAATTCAAAAAAATGACAGTCTTCATCCAAAAAAATCCTTTTTATATATGCAGGACATTCAGACATTCAGTATCAAACATTGCCCAACCCACATGATCCAGAGAAAACAACACTACAAAATATCCATAGAAAAACAAACACAATACTAACACACGACTCTTCACTAAAATGTACAAAACCTAGTTTGAACAACAGCTTAACATTCTGGTGAAACTCTCCAACATATATGTATATATACTGTTTATAGCAGCGATAAACGGTGGAGCGAGATCAGTTCATGAAAGGCCTGAAGGATGAGAGACAGAAGGCAGAGAGTGGAGAAGACATGATCCAAGGAGGAGAGGGAGGAAGAGGAGGTGGAGAGGGGGGGGGAAACGGTGAGAGCAGAAAAGGTTATGTCATATCCAGAATCAACACGGACCCAAAGAGACATAACGTTGGACAACACATCACATCAAAAACTCTTTCTTTTCCTCTACTTCATCCCTCTCCTCCTCTTCCTCTTCCTCGAAAGATGCCACTCCGGATGAAGCCCTGTCAGAGAAGAAGCTTCTCGGACTGCAATGCCATACCCGGGCCTCATGAAACACGCTGCCATCCTCCTCCTCGTCCTCCTCGTCCTCCTCTCCAGGAGACTCTGAGTGAGAGGTGGAGTAGCAGGAGTCAAACCTGCTGCTCCGAGCCCGAGGCCTCCACTCTGACTTGTGGTGGATGCAGACCTCGCTGCGCTGCTCCTGCAAAGAAGCCTGCTGCCCCTCAGGACCACCTAGCCTCCCCTCCTCTTCTTCCTCCAAGAAGGGGCTCGTGCAGTCGCTGGGTAAAGTAGGTGAATTGGTCTGGGATGAATGTGGGTCATTGTGAGCAATGTGCTCGTCGCACAGCAGGCTGTCACTGCTGGGGCCCAGGGGACTCTCAGGGGGCGGGGCCTCTCTGCCGTTAACTTCAGGCTGGCACGGCGGTCCGGCGATAGGATTGGACGTGGCGGCGTCTGAGGGAGGAGCAAAAAGTCAGAACACCTGGGGATGAATGGATAATTGGGGGTGGGGGCACGGAAAGATGGGAGTGCTTTGTGAGTGATGACGCAGAGGATGAAGATGAGATTATCAAAATGAGCTGAAATGAACAAAATGGTGGCGACTGTAGATACCTGAGCTCTGACTGGAGAAGATGTGAGTCTGTCCATTGGTGTGGGAGTCCTCATCGTTCGAGTCGTCCTCTTCATCATCATCAATGGAGGCCCAGGCGCGCAACTTAGCCTCAGCAATGGCGAACTGCTCAGCCACTCCTGGCAGGAACACACATTCAATGGATTTAAGAATAACAACTTCATTTATTTTTAACCAAATTCATCTACTTATATTATGAGGCCTCAGTTTTTTTAATATGCAACATTAAAAAGGATGAAAATCAGTGAATTGATGTATCTGACAGATCAATGTATTTTTACTACTTGAGGGGGCATTCACTTTAGGTTTTCCTGTCAGGAACTCACAAATTCGTCTTTTATTTCCTTTTACACTACATACACTTTCTTCCTCATACAGTTTTCAGAAAGGTTAAGTATCCGTCGAACTGTGAAAAATCAGTCATCTTATTCCAGTCCACCTACTAATTAATTCAACTTTTCTAATCGTCACAAAGTAGAAAAAAATGTCCTCAATTACTGAGAAGTTGATCAAGATGCGAAGAAAGAAAATCCTTTTTTATACAGCATGTTAATGTATGATGACTTTGCACCCTGCATCCCTCCCTCCTCTCGCTCATATTGTCTTTTATTTAAACCATGCCGATGTGAGAGGATGAGTCACAGCAACACAACAGGCGCTGTTGTACCATTGGTGGGCAGTGAAGTGTTCGAGGAGAGTGTCTAATAGGCCACCATCTGCAGCCAAGACAAGCCGTCACCCAAGAGACAGCGCAGTGGGCGGGGCCGGCAGCTGACATACAGGAGTTTTAGGGGATTAGGTGAATGACAGAAGGTAGGAGATGATGCTGCAGCTCAACAAAGATAAATAAGAGGATATCCACATAGCTAGTTAAAGGGGAAACCAGATGTAGCCACAAATAGAGGTCACAGGACCATACCTGCTGCGAAGCGGGCCTCCTTCTCTCCTTCACTCAGGTGGCTGTAGGAGCTGAAGTGGGAGTGGGCGGCTGGAGGGGGGTTTGCAGGTTTGGGCCAACCTTTCCATTCGATCAGATGGGCGACCCGACCCTGGGCCAGGGAGGTGGGCTTTGTCACATGATCCCTGACTGCCTGAGAGATGCCTGGGCAATAATAAGAAAAACAGGAAAGGGTCTTAACTTTTGACGTCATAAATACATTAAAGTGAGAGTAAAAACACACAAAGGGTTAAGAAGGTTTTATACCATTCAAGGAGGATCTGGCTAGTGCTGCAAACTCCTGTATGCCGACACTTTTCCTTGAGTCTGCCGGAGATTTTCCTGACTTTGGAATCATTTCAGTCTCCTCGAATTTCACCTGCAACGCAAATTAGATTTTAGCAATAATCTTTTTCCCCCCCCCCACAGATAAGCTCTTAATTGTACATTTGTGTCACACCCTACTCAAATAAAAAAAAAGAAATGATTCCCTAAAGCAATAAATGTTTTTTTTTTTGCTCAAATTCACGCTGTCCATTTTTTGTCCTAAATATTCTCATGGCAGCTAAATGAAAAGCTCACATTCAAATAATAACCACATGACAAACACATGGCCTCCAATGCTGAAATAAAAGCATCATCCAAAATGAGTATATAAACTGTTTTATTTACCTCTTCATCATCTTCCATATATCCCTCCCTTCTCTCTCTACTCCTGGATCTCAGCCTCATGGTGGACATGTAGAGATGTTGTCACAGCGCAGCAATCCAACACAACTAAAAGTCAGTGCCTGGGTTGACTTGTTTAAACCAGCAGGCAGACGAGCAAACAGCTATGCCCTACATTTACTGCACAGATGCTAAAGCCAGGGTAAGCCGTTGAACTCAGTTTGAATGGTTGGCTCTGAGGGAGTTGAGGGCAGCGCTGACTGTCTCTCGACATATGGCGCGTGACCAGCTCTGGTAAGCAGCTCCAGACAGGCCTGCTCACTCCAAAGCTGCTGATCCTTATTAAAAGTGATATTGCCACCTAACTAACTCCATATCCAGAATAAATACAGGAAAAGGCTGAAGTTAAGTGTGTCCGCTGAATTTGTGCCTATAGAATATGGGAGCAGCAGTGTGTGTCTTGTTTTTTAAAGCAGGTTAATCAACAGAAAGGAACCATGATGCCTGACTACAACTCTCTCTTTCTCTCTCTCTGCACGTGCATGACTTGACAATATATCCTTAAGAAGATTGGCTCCCAAAGCAGCTAAGAGTCAAGAAGCAGAGGCTCCTGACTCGAAGGCTTAAAAAGAGTAAAAAATGACAGCTAATGTATGTCAGTGACACACACGCAGGCAGATGCATGAAGGTGTAAACTGCTCCCAGCGCCTGGATGAAGCTGAATGTAACGCTCCTCAGAGGTGAGCTTCTTCTGCATAGCACACCTGTCAACACTGTAGATGTCACTCATGCTCAGCACAGATAAACACATCTCCTGCTCAGCGTTTGGAGACTCACCATGGAGGGCTCAGCTCTTTCACCATGTCAGCAAAATAAGACTTGCTGAACTACTTTGAAGGAATTAACTGTTACAAATCATATTTGGTCTTGTGCAAATCAGCAGCATTCGTCACTGGAAAGGAAAAAAAGCTTTAACGTGTATATTCCAGCAGCTGCCTCACAAATTTCCTTGAATCAAAGCAGTATCACCAGTCACTGGTTACACATGAACTTGCCAATATTCATTTCCCCCTCAAAACATTCGATTGATTGTTTCATTTTCCACATTTAGGGAAAGAAGAGACACCTCAAAAGGTTCAAAAGAAATATAATGAAGTTGGACTTTTTTTTTCTCTTTCCCCCATTCTAATGAATCATCCAGTGACCTCTCAAGTTTATCTCTGGTGACCCAAACGAGGGGTCTCAAACCCATGGTAGAGAACCACCTCTGTAAACAGTATGTAGGTCACATCACTGATCTTTGGGTAAACCTGTGATACATGTTTATCTAGTTATAACTATGCATTATTTAAATGCTGATTCATAGTTTCAGACATGTTAGAGTAAAAATAGCAAACAGTCTCCAGTGGCCTCTTTTTCTGATATCCATCACTACAAACTGAAAGTCTTACAGACATCATTTATACAATTTGTAATAAATATTTTCACAAACTTCTGCCTTATAGACATAATGTAGACATAATGTTTTTAGAATAAAGTTAAACAGTTGACACTTTGAGAAAAATAACGATTTCGATTTTTTTTTTTTTTGCTGCATTTAAAATGGTCTTTCTCTTTTATTTTAGCCAGGGCACCTCCACGAGATTTGGCCTCTGTGGAGCTGCTGATAAGCAATGTTGTGTTTTATAAACTCACACTTCAGCATGCTCAGTGACAGCCCTCTTCTGCAGCTTGATGTTAATTGGCGTTCACATAACAAAGGCATGTGCAGAGTAGACATTGAAATGAAGTTGCTTTGAGGGCTTTTTAATGATGAAGTATTGTGTCTGCAGAGCCAGGCTGCTGTGCATCTTACTGACATTACGACTAAACATGTCTGACAAGGCGATCGTCTGACATCCTAAAAAAAAGGAGCTGATGATGTGACATATAGGGCCAACAAGTGGGATCGAGTTAAGCCAGTTTGACTGCAGCCAAACATCTGTAGCTTGCTGTGAGCATGGCTGAAGTGAGCTGTGATGATGTGATTTCTTTTTTTCTTTTTTTTTCTGGAGAGGGTTTAAATGCAAGCAGCAGAAGCTACACACTGGAGGTTGAATAACATATCACCCCGCCATTGATGTGTTCCGGCCTGTAGCCTGCAATTACGGGGAAAATAATACGCAGAGGCGCGGATGCGGCAGCGGGTCTCCAGGCAACCTCAGAAGTCTCCATCTGCATACCAATAGCTCCATACCTGCAGCGGATACAAACCAAGAACTCCCTGTCCTTGTTTATCCCACTTCGCAGCTCTAACGGCGCTCGTGTTGTTGTTATCATTCCTTCCCAATGACTCCCGGTACCTACCTGTAAGTGGGACCACGGCGGCTCATGATAATGCGCTTAATTGTCTCCAATCCGATCAACAGATGACACCGCGTGGTTTGTCGTCCCGCCGCAGCCTCTGCAGCAAAGCATCAATGCCACGCATCCGGCAGAGACATCTTGTGAACTCCAGCATTAGGGTCTCCAGCAAAGACGCACAATTTATGGCTCGGTATGTGGGTTACATAGGCTGTCCAAATGTCTCCCGATGGCAAGCGTCATCAATGCAAGGCGGTGTCACATCCTATCTCAGCCCCTTGCTCCCCTCCGCCCACTCCGCACGCAGTCGAGATCAAGATCCTGGAACCTGCTGCAGATTTGGCACTGAAACGCACTGCAGCTGATTTTTGATTTTTTTTACTTTCATTAAATGAAACATCTGGCCAATAGATTTAAAAAGCTGTGAGAGAGGAGGACACCTGTTCTAATAATTAGCCTAGTTAGTGTGGAAGACATATAGGCCTACTGTATGCCTAACTTTTTTTTTTAAAAGAGCCATGTTTTGTCGAAAATAAATAATTCGCCCACTGACAATTCTTGGAAATAGTCAGGTCACCAGGTGTGGTCACAATCAATGTCAGGAGTTAAGGTACAGTATTAATTGATTGTCCAATAAAACTATTTCTTACATAGTCCCACAATGTAAAAAAATAATAATAATAAAATGTTCACAAGATTTTTTTTTTCCTTGTTTGGACTGAGGTGGCTCCGTAATTTACTTTTAAGAGTGGTGGAAAAAAATACATTTCAAAGTGACGGAATGGAAAAAGAAAACGACGGACCCAATATTTGAAACCAACCAACACTTATAAACTTCCTAAAAGTCTTTAGAAAATCATTTTGAAATTTTGTCTGGAGCACAGACTAATTAAAACAGAATGGCAAAGTTTGCTCAGTAGACCTCCAGACGGTGAATACATGTTAGGCTATATGAAATGTAAATCTGTTTAATGTAGGAAAAGATGGCTACAGTAAACATTAAAAATGATAAAGCTGCAATATTAAATTATTGTCACACTTATTTAAGCTAAAGGAGAACAATAGGGACATGTTCCTTCAAGGTTCCAGAGAGGTTATATAGACCTAAAGGTACATTTCCCTGGAGCACCTCTGAATGCTTTACAAAACGTTAACATTTCAGAATTTTTTAAGGGCTTATTAAATGATCTATTTAAATACAGAACCAGAGGAGATATGCCCCATTTCTCATCAGAAGAAATAAATAATATAAACCATAACAAACTATCTAAAGCTGCAGGCTCAGAGGTCAAATGACTTGAGACTTGATTTGGCTTTCAGTGGCTCAAGATCACATGACTTTGGTCATTTGAAACTTTTGACAGTCTTAGATTTGGAACGAAAGAGTGGGATTGTCCAATAGAAAGACTTGTTAGGCTATTTAAACAACATTGCTTAACTTTAAGCTACTGTTTCTAGACATGGTTTGTCTACAGACATTATGTTTTTAACAAGGATTGGCTCCCCCTCTCCCTGGATTCTCTAATGTTGTAGCCACTCTTACAAGCTTGTTTTGGTTAAATATCATGTGGGTATTTACCAAAATGATCCTTCAACACTTTGTTTCCATATAAATCTTGTGATTTGTACTCATTCACTCTTTCTGGTTTCAAAGTAGACTTTTACATCTCGACCTTTCTAGTTTTCCTCAATGAATAATCTTACTTCTTCTATCCTGATTTTAATATCATTATGGCGCCTTGAACTTTTTGTCTCGTGTAAGGAACTTTTACTTTCACACTACTGATTTAAACAAAGGATTCATTTCACTCATCTGCCATTTTGTTCTAAGGTTTGGAATGTAAAGGAATCATGCAAGAGTTGGGGAAACTTGATGGTACCCAGTGGCCTTCAAAATGTCAGTAGTTGTGCAGATGCTCTCCCAGCTGTAACAAAATAAAAACCACGATGCATGGGACAGATTTCAGACACACTTGTCAAACATTCTTCTCAGCAACTTAGTAAGTCCTTTATTTGCAATGCTCCGTTACCTCATCTTTCCAGTTTCCGATGCAAAAGAAGCGATAATTTCTTAAATAAAGAAAGCAAAAAATATTTACAAAAATTCCAATACAACTAATAATAATAATCAATGGATTATCTAAAGCACCTCTCTGCATCTGGACAACTGCGGCTTCTGTTGGAAAAAGGAAACTGCAAGTACATCAGCAATTTATCATTTCTGAAAAATAAACTGAAGAAAAAAAGTTTTGTGTTATTATTATTATATATTTACAGAACTCTCCTGAAATAAGTTTCCACTTACAGTAGAAAAGGCTTTCGGATCATTTCTGTTTTTTTTTCTTTTTTTTTCTTTTTCTAACTTTATATATTTCATCAAGTCAATTTTCTGTAGATTTCAAGTTTCAATGGTGATTGGGTCATTAAGTGTCCTCTACGACAGCTCAGGTTTAAGTATAGAAGAGGTAAGAAGATGAAGAGTAAGTCAGTGTGGTTCACTACTGGGGATGGGAGAGGATGGCTTAGAGGAAGCATTACGACCACCAACTAGCGGTCAAGATCAACGGTCCACATCAGTCCTCCGTGTTTCTGCCTCTGAGTTCATGATAGGGAAACAGGAAGAGAAAATAGACCAACTATGCTTTAAAAACATCATCCAAATTAATATTAGTTCATGAACATTTGTCTATCAACGTTTTGTCCACTGTTATCATTAATAGAAACACACTTCAGTCATGCTGCGCACTCCAGTAAGGGACAAAGACATAAGAGCTGAGTTTGGGTTGAACACACACACGATGATACCCACGTATCAGGGAACCCATTACACCACACACCCTGCGGTCTGTTCTCACACATCAGATAAGATGGTAGGCATTTTAACTATCTAGAACCATAAAAAAGCAGCCAGTTGGTTTTGTGTTATTGTGACCGAAAAAATAAAAAGGTTTTTGTAGTGAAGTGGCATATTTCACACCTCTTTAGCAAGCAATCCTGCTCAATCAGTTTTCAAGTTTATTTCATGAGGACACTTGCCATCGGAAGCAGGTGCAGAAATAATGAGGAAGCAAGAGAGGGAGAGTAGAGAGAAATGATTGTTTTCTGAGTCCATCCCTCTAAGAAAAGAAAACATAATAAAGATTTATCCTCATTGAGGATTGATTCGAGTCTGCCTCTGGCAATATAGTCCATGAACCTCCGCAGTCAACTGCAATGCCCCCACTTTGCCACAGGGGGGCCGCAGCTTTTAGTTCAGTCTTTCTTATTTATTCCTTGTCGGACTCCTCCTCGGCCTCGCGGAGCCAGGTGAAAAAGGCCGTGACTGATTTCAAGGCCACACCTTTGCCTGTTTGCTCAGCAGGGTCTTTGCTGGACTCCCATTTGTAGAAGGCCTCCTCTTTAATGACGTCCTCGTCGTACAAGGCGTCAAAGAACATGCGCAGCAGGTCTGCAGGGAGAGAATAAAGAGGGATCAATACACAATTTGCTGCAGAAGGAGTTGACAGATAAGCCTTACAGAACATCGGCCCTGCAGTTGATAAGTGCAACCACACACTGTTCTTTTATATAACTTTAGTGTCCTTCAACCAGTACCAAGTGAGCTATGCAAATGTACATGTTTATTTGCACAAAGCATCGCAAATGTAAGCCTTTTTCTGTCTTTTCATATTTTGCATTTGCAATTAATAAACAATTTATGACAAGTACACAACAGCTGAACTGTTCAAATACAAAGCAGCACCAAGTGACATGCTCTACAAAAGCTGATTGACTTAGTGCTCCATTCGGCCCAATAAAACGGCTTCTCCAAACAGTCTCGAAGTTAAATGTAAAAATTCATATTTATTGCTTTATATTTATCATATTTGTTCTTTCATATTGTGTTTAAAACCTGTACAGCACGTTGGTGTAGTAATAGTGATTTAAATGTGCTATAAAGATAAACTTTGACGCAACTTAAAACCCCTCATGATCATTTTATTATGCACTGGCAATAAACTTTATCACGTGTCATTTTTAAATGTGCCTGTCACAGCTTTTTTTACAAATACATTTTGTATTAATTTTATTTTTTTGTGTTCTGAACTGTTATTGTTCCAGTGCTTTCCTTTGAAGACTACTACAACTAGCCTTGTGTGAAAGACTGTTTCTGCATGATAACATTATATATATTTTCAATTTGATTTCTATATCTCTTGTGGTTGTTCAATAGTTTTCCTACAAAGAGCCCTTTTAAATCACCAAGTAAACACAAAAGCCCTGAGTAGGTATAATAGTTAATGTATACACCATTTAACCCAGCACAACATTGAACTGACTCACATAGTTAATGGAAGTTAGTTTGTAGAACAAGTTCCTATGACAGGCCTTGGCTGGAAACTGCACAAGAGATGAGTTTCTGAATTTTTTTGTTACATTGATCTAAAGGCGATCTGTACATTTCAAGGCTGTGACAGCCTCAATTAAGTCAATTAAAAGCACTTCAGAATATTGTTTTTCCTCCTTAACCTTAATACTTAAGGTTATGTGGTAAAAATATGAAAATGATGAGCTGCACCACCTTTCGCATCTCTTGCAGGGCTACTGCATCCTAACTGTTTGTTTTTGTTTGTAAAGATACAAAGCGCAGGACACTCACTCGCTGGCTGCTCCATGTGCACCATCAGAGCCTGGAGAGCATACAGGGCCTGTAGCTCTTTCTGCTCATCACACAGATACCTCTGCAGCAGACGGGCCTTCAGGCCTATCTGCTTCGCATCCACCCTGTACGGGTTGTCACCTGCAATGATGAGCAAAAAAAACACGAGTCAGATAAAACATTGCATGCAAGGAAATCAAATTTCACTGACAGGGCAACAAGTTCAATCACATATTCATGTCAGCACATCAGTACATGAGTAATAGTGTCAATGTTTGTCAATGGAACATGTTCCCTGAATGACTAACAAAGACATAAGATCGTTAAAGCAGAGAGCAGAGAGCCATACTTACATATGATGGCAGACTGACACACTGATGTCATCAATGCTCGTACAAACTGGTTGGAAGTGCTTTGTTCTTCATCCAAGTTAGCCTGAAAAATCCCCAAAAATATTTACTAATGTGACTTTCACATGACCATATGCAACACTGAACAGTATGTTGACATTTGAAAACCTGCTGAATTGAACCTGAGCTGTAACTCACCTCCACCCAGTCTCTGATCCGCTGGTTGTCGGCCTTGTCCTGCAGGAGTCTGTCCAGCTGTTGGCTGAGCTCATCTCCACTGAGGACCTTCTTCTTGTCTTCTTCCTTTGACTCCACCTCTTCTCCTGTAGTAAACTCCACTTGCTAAATTAAGAAACCACACGAAAAGATTAGCAAAGTGTCACTTGTACTCTTGATCAATTTGTAAATTTCTTGCCATCAATTCTTTGCGTTTCTTCTTTTGTAAGTAAACAACAAAACCAAACATTTTTTCAACTTTGTAATTATTTAAGCATAAGTAATCAAGTTGTTTCAATACATCACATATTTGGACCAAACTAAACGACTGTATGGCTCATGTATCCGTCTGCACTCGACCTCTGCAGCCAGTCTTTCACAGGCTAAAGCTAGCAAGCTAGTCCCCTAAAACAGGTTTGTTATGACATGAATGTGATGTGTTTTTTTATTGAGTGGTATTGGCATTTTTGTAGTTGGATACTACTAAAAATATCTTTAAGTATTTAACAAAGCTTTGTGGTTGAATGTTTAGCTCATAATGGGTAAGTTTTAGATCTGTTTTTTTAAATATCTTTAATTCTATACAGAAAGACTTCAGACAACACTTTGCAAATAATGTGTTTGTTATCTATGAGTTTGTAGTGGAAGGTTTGTTTCTTAAATTGAGCATGCCTTTTCTTTTTAAGTGTTTACTCTGTTGTTTCCCTCTTCCTCCACTTAACTAAATGATATTTTTTTCTTTTAAAACTGGTATCACAATCATGATTGTTAGTTTTAGCTCCTACTTGTTTTCTGCTTGTGTGTCCTACATACCTGTTCAGTGACAAACTTGTTGACGTCCTCATCCTCAGGTAGGAATTCACTCCAACTCAAGCCGCCGTCTGTCCACATGGTCCCGACCTTCTTAGGGGTCTGATGGAAAAACAAACACATTCAAATGAGTCTAAAATATCAAACTGCTAAAAGCATTAAGATTATATTGATTCAATGATAGAACTTTATTATCAAACATTGTCTGAAAATGTGTCTTGCATCACACACAGATAGTGTCATAAAGGACGTACCACTCCTTTGCACAGCAACTTGAGGATCTGCACCAGAAGCACGCCAGCTATCCCCAGAGGAACGAGAGGCTTCGAGATCTCCCTGCACACACAATCATCAGTTTTAGCCTTCCATCTTTCTTTTGACCAATTTATTAAACGTTTCTATGAATTACAACTGTAAGCAGCACCAGTTATGATTTTTGTTTTCCTAAGCAGCAGACGAGGTGTAGGAAACTATAAGTGTATACTGCTAGTCCTCTTCAGATGTGCACTGTTCACTTTGTGCTTTATTTGTTATTGTCCTTTAGCTTTGAATCCACTCAAGCTACCATTTCCATGTTAAAAATAATGATATCAATTTAAATTCTGACTGAAGTCAGTGTCACAAACTCTCTTTTTACCATTAAAGTACCTGCTGCAGACATGTTACAATGCTCCAGTGTATGACATACAGACTGTAGACACTAACACATATATACTGCTCAGGCACAGGTTGATAGAAATTATGAAAGAGGAATAATGGAAATGTAATCAACAACAAGATATCTGTAACATAAATAAGAAGTTCACAAAGGGGTGCTAGGTACATTATACGTCAAAGTTTCATGTTAACGTTTTGCGCTCTCTTACTGACTTTCTTTTTCAAAACATGCAAAAAGATGATCAAATGCTTGTGCAGTTGTCTTCAGCGATGGGACGAAATGATTCACAATTACTTCAAGCACTATAGCTCACCTGAAGAGCTGTCCCATAGGGATGCCTCCCTCATGGAGCATGGGGGTGATGAGTTCAGCCAGGTAGAGCCAGATGTGAGGTATGTCTATGGCCGTGTCTTCTGCTGCCTCCAGGGTCTCTTCAAGCCTGCAGTCCAAAAGAAACAATGCACGTTATCCATCTTTCGCCACACGCCCTTGTCAGCTTATTTTAATCTAAGTTCAATTTAACAGATGCTTAAGAACTCCAAAAATGTGAAGGAAGGAGTGCTACCAGACTAGAGAAAGAATAGGCAACTTCAAGGCACTCGCTTTTCAACAATCAAGAGGTCTTTATTTTCACAGCATGGATATGGGGACATTAAAAACACACATCACCGTGTTTTCACACTCGATATCCTGATGAGGGCTTGAAGTGTTCTTTTAAGATCCACATGACCATTCCGTGAAAGTAAAGTTCGTTTGAAAGCGGGTGCCTGGGAGTTTTTCTTTTTTTTTTTTTCAATAAAGACTTAGCAGATATTTGTAAAAAAGGTGTGGTCAGGTTCTTCCTTTGATTAAATGCTCACCCTTTGTAGTACTGCGATGGGGGCAATGACCCTGCCTTAACAAGCTGTTGAAGCAGCAGGCCCACGCGCTCTCTAGCGATGGTGCTGCGCTCAAGCGTAGACTCAACGCTGTTCCGCACAAACACAAAGAGCAGCGAGGCACTGTTGAGTTCTGCGACGCACTGCAACGCCTCCTACAGCACCACAGAAAGAAGACACAAACAATCCAGGCAGTCAGAGCGGTTTCAATTGCTGGTAAGCCCGATAACATGTGAATTTAAAAGCAAGTCACTTTGAAGCATGCCAATGTGCAACTGTGTCATGTTTTTACCTTTAAGTCGTTGATGTGGATGTATTCTTCAATGATGGCTTTGGACTTCTTCTCCACTTCCTCCTCAGTCATGGAGGGTTTCTGAGGACCAGGAGGAGGAGTTGGGGCGCTCTCACGCTGAGCTGAAAAAGAGAAAATCATTATCAATCCTCTTACCTGTTGCATGCTTACCATTGTCAACTCAAACTAACGAACAATCCTATTAACATTGTACATATTCCTGTTTACGGCATTAGTTTTTTTTTAAGCTCTACAGGTATTTTACCGGTGAGATCTTTACTTGGAGCCCTGTCCCGGCTTCCTCTGTCTTTGCTGCCCTTGTCTTTGCTTCCTCGATCCCTGCTTCCTCGGTCCCTGCTTCCTCGGTCCCTGCTTCCTCGGTCCCTGCTTCCTCGGTCCCTGCTTCCTCTGTCCCTATCGTCAGTCATGCTGGCAACGCGACGCACAGGCTCGTTTGAGGCTCGGCTCTCTCCGCCCCGCCCACTGCGGTCCTGAGATTCTCTGCTGAAGCTTCTCTTGGTGATTTGGTTCTGGCTGCTCCTGTCATCACGACCTTCCTGTCCCTCGAAGCGTTCATACCGATCTCTGTCGCGTTCACCCCTGTCTCTGTCACCACCGCGATCGCGACTTGAGCTCGACCTACAGGTTGAAAATGAGACAAAAAGTTAAAAAATAACAACATTTTTTGAAAGTCAAATGTGATCCTGATCCTTTAAATGAGTATGTTTACGCAGCCTAGAAAAAAAGAAATCTCCAGCTGTGATATACCTCTGAGGAACTCTGCGATCAGAGTCTGAGGAAGACGACACAGAGCCAGCCTGTTGCAGCGCTGAGAAGCGATTGAGGGTGCTGGTAGCTGGACGACCAGAATCTAAAATAGGAGAAGAGGAGATTAACAATAACATGGACAAGAAACATCAAACTAAACTGTATTTGAAAAAGCTTGTTTACCTTGCTCTCCACTGGCTGGTTTAGCTCCAGTTCCTCCACTGCTGCCTTTGCCCCAGCTGCCCCACATGCCTTTCCCCCCTGGGGCCAACAGCTGATTGTTGAAGTCCAGAGCACCAGGCTGACGAGAATCACAAAAATATATTCACATTTATCCAAGTCCAAAACCACATTCTTAGCTAAAGTGTCATTCCAATGACTTTTGTGAGGATTTAGTATATCTTAAAACATACATGGAAAGTGAACAATACATTTGACTTCACTGAGAAGCCTCAAGAGAATATACATCACTCTGATGTTACCTTTGTGATCTTGCTAAGGCGAGTGGTGTCAATGGGTCTGTTCTTGGAGATGGGTACTGTGTTCCATCCCTCATCTTGAGGCTGGCTCTGCCTGCCGCCCTGCGTGTGAGAGCCTCTGCCCCCCATGCCTCCTCCCATCCGTCCTCCACCTCCTCCACCTCCTCCTCCTCCCTCTTTCTTTGACATGAGCACCTGCTGGACTTTGATCTGCTCCCTGTGCTCCTCCAACTCTGCCTCCTTGTGAATCTGGTCAATAGTTTTGGGACCTTGGTCTCCTCTACGAGGAACCCAGTTACACTGTGAACAGAGATGGGGGGGGTGTCATTTAATATCAGGCTTTGCAGGTGATTCTTAATGCCATTGAATCATTTCACAAACAGAATAAAAAACTTCAGGAATATTTCTTGACATAAGTTACGGCTGTCAGGCTTTCCACAAACATATGGAGCTGCGAGCTAGTGGACATAAGAAGTCAGCTAGGGGTGTCCTGGGGCAGATTTTACATGACATTTTATTCAACAGAAAACTAATAATAACTATATTTTCTGCATTTGAAAATATGTTAATTTTGTGAGCTGCAAACTTTGGACTTATTTCACATATCCCTTGGCTGGAAAACAGTTAATTTTTGAAACTATTATCAGAACCACAAGAATTATTTGTGGGTGAACTTTTACCTGTCAATCTCCCTCTCTGCCTCAGTTGCCAGGATTTATGGCAAAAACATTTAAAACTTTTTTTTCGTTTAACATCAATATACAATCTTCTATAATTCTTGAATGTCAGCATTTTTAATAACACGCTAACACACTTTAAACAAAGACAGAGACAAGCAGTGACAGCTGTCATATACTTCACATGAATGATTTCACTGCAGATTGAACCTGAAACCAGAGCTCCATGTATATTTTAAATTTCGGACAATTTCAGTGAGAGCACTGCCTCCCATAACACCCACACTCTACAAACAGAGCACAAGGGGCAAGGGTAACATAGACATCTTTCTCATCTTGATTAAAGTTGAGGCGAGCCTTTTAAAATGTATGTCTGGCACTTGTGGAAACCCCTAGATTGTGAAGGATTATGGATTAGTTAATATTTACCCTTCTGAGGTCCAAGACATCTTGCAGCATGAAGCGGATTCTGGACGAGGTCTTTCTCTCTTTGATGATCTTGTCCATTTGGTTGAAATACTGATCCATACGAGGCTAACAGGGACGTAGATAGAAAAGAGACTTTTATAAGGCATGACTACAAAAATGTAACATGTAAATGATTATTTAAAGAGAGCAGTCTCCTGAGATCCTGAACTCCATCACTAATAATAAAAAGACTCATCACTACAGACATCTGATTGTGTGAATATTTTATTAATAAGACATCCAATCTGTTTGTGTCAATGCTTTTCTTACCTTGGCCTTCTCAAAGTCCAGGTCTTTGCCAATTGTGGAGAGCAGCCTGCAGAGACACTCCAGAGACTCTTCATCGTGATTCTTTAGTAGTTTGACCACACAATCGTGCATAATGGCCTCCGTCAGCATCTTGAGCTTGAAGAGCTCTCCTATGAACTTTATGTTACCCAGTGAGCGACGGCGAGCCTGGTCTCTAGCATCCTGAAGCTCCACCCTCAAACGCTCCCGCTCCTCTCCCTGAGGACAGATACAGGCAGTGTTTGTGCTTAGTGGTGGGATACAATGATCAGCTTTCTCTTAATACGTGACAGACCTGTTGTTTTCTGGGAAATGGCTGTAATACATCAAAGGTCATACCTCCTTGGCAGCCTCCATCTCTTTTTGCTTTTTCTCAAAGATTTCGTCATCATCCTGATCCTTCTCAAACTCTTTCTGGCAGCGGTTGAGAAGCAATTTGCGGAAGTTCACAGTATGTCCTGGCTTGTCTGGTGCGGGGACTTTCAACTGAAGGAAAATTCCAAATAACAATCATTAGTACAGGATATACTAGAGGTGTGGGGGGAAAAAGCAATTCATGTCAGAATGGCAGTTACTATTTACTAAGAATCTGAACTGAGTAAAGGTCCAAATATCATTTTCAAGATGTAATATTTTACATCCCAGGTTCATTTTCACCAGCAGCCAGGCTGGGCATGGCAAACTTTTTTCATCCGTTCACCCTCTTCCTGGTTAAACTGAGTCAGCAGGGTGTGTCTCTAACATTAGCTAGTTCTCTACGTAGGTAACGTATGGCTGTGTGAGTGTCTGACATACTAACATAATGATTGTACTGTCTGTAAAGCAGTGAGGCATTCAGCCCTGTTTTCATTGGAGGCAAGTGTTAGAGTGCACTATTGATTCTATAATTCCCTGTGTTTGAGGAAGCCTGACCCGACATACTCAATAATATCAAAAAGAAACAAATTGACACTCTCAAATAATAAAGTGCACCGCAAGCTGCAGTAGATCCTGACATTAGCACCCCTTTGTAACAAATAGGGTATGTTTTGTTCATCAGGAATCAGTTTCAATCGAAAAACTATGTTTGAATTTAATTGCGAGATATTGAAGGATTAACATCTCTACATCTACTAGAGCTGTGCATCTTCACTGGTCTTACGATTCGATTACGATTATCCAGTCAACGATTCGATATAACGATGCATCACGATTCATCTTCAATTTTCTATATTACTGCACATGGCTACTTTTTCATAAACAGAGACAAACAGTCTCAATATGAAGTCCTTTTGTATAATTTAAAACGTTTTTTTAGACAACAATGTAATTATCAATATCTTTACATTGTAAGTTAAAATTAATACATCATATAGGTAGCCTCCAGTATAGGTAAAAAAAAAAGTGTTTGTGTGTTTAGTTTATTATACGAGAGAAAGATGTTTTTAAGTCACTGTGTGTTCCCTTCTCAGGACGTTGTAGCCTTTAGCTCTGAGCTTTGTTCAGGGTTAGTTTTGTTTGTGTCCTTTTTATTTCACGAGTTGTGTGAAATAAGCTACTGCTGTAAACGCCCCATTTCCTAATATGGATGTTTCACATTAAAATCACTTCAACTTCAGATAGGCCAGGGACTTTTATTGTGAAGAACTTGTCGGAAATAGAATGTGTTTATCATCAAATGAACGCAGCTTTAGCGGAAGTGCACTTATTAGTGGTGATTCTCGATGACGCTCGATGTCAACTGTGTTTACAGCCGCTTACTTTATCACAAGTCACAGCCACAGCCCCCTTCTTTTAGTTATCCTGGACTTAAGACAGCGCAGCATCAGTTTAAACACATCTTTAGCTGTGATGAAGATGCTAATCTGTGCTGCGGTCGGCTAAAGAGACACAAAGTCAAGCTGTTTCAGCGTGCAGCGGAGCACTGTGGTCTGAGTGTGCAGGACCAGTTGACTCTGCTCATAAAGTCAGTAAGCACAGGACTGGGACTCAATTAACGTTGTTTTCTGTCACAAATCCCTCTGTTAGCCTGCGTTACTTTCATTACACACCACCGTGCATGTTTAGGTAAAACAAACTCACTCAACGCTGCGCAAAACAAGCACATTTAGCGGCTGGCAGATGCTGTTTTTCTAACCCTCGTCAGCATCGATTACGCCCTGTCCCTGCATCGATGCATTAATCATCTAGTCTGCATCGCGATGCATCGATTAAATGATTAATTTCAACAGCCCTAGCATCTACACCTCTACATTTAATTATAATAACTTTTTTAATCACTTACAATTACAATATACAGAATAAAAACTTAATTCTTTAGATATTATACAGAGAATTAATGATAAAAAAAAGTTGGCTCAATCAGTTCCTCAACAGCATCTCAACCATTCAAGACAAGTGGCTCAAAACAGAAGTCATTAGTGGAACACATGAATAGAACTAAATCCTGAGAGTATCATGTGACTTACCCCCAAAAGGCAGCGGCACATGTTGGCGTAAGCCACCGAGAAGTTGGGCTCTGAGATGGCCTTTTCAAAGATGAGGTCAATGGTACCCTTCAGCCTCTCCTCTGTGTCTATTGTAAGATCTGTCACTTGTTTCATCAGCTCCTGAAACTTCTGAGGGGTCAGCTTGTTGAGGATACTACGCAGACGCTTGAACAGCTCATTAGTCTTGCCCAGTTCAGAATCGTCTTCTACTTCTACTTCTTCTGCTCGGCTGCGAGTGGACTTCTTCGCAGTGGGCTTCCAGGCCTTCTCAGCCTTGTTGAGCTGCACGTCATCACCAAGAGACATGCTGCTGATGATTTTCCTGGGCTCTTTCCTCTGACCCTGCTGGGAACGACGTGGTCCAGGAGGCTAAAAGGAAGGCAGGGCAAGGATGCGTTTATTAAACATCTAGAAATTATACATTTGTTTAGTTAGGATTATTTTGATCTTTATTTTCAGTTATGTTGATACAGGTAGGTATGTTGCTAGATTTGCATCCTGCATCTCTGGGGTTTTAAAATGGATGCAATGAACTTTAAAACTTTATGGTTCTACTTGAGGTTATTTGCCTTTATAGCTTTATGCCTTCCTAAACACAGCCTGCCACTACATCCATGGCATTGCCTAATGCTACCACTAACAATACTAAACTCCTGAAGCCTTTGATTAGTGCTGAATTCATTCATGTCAAACATTCCCTGAAAACTCTACACCAACAGAAAGAGAAAAAAAAGTATTTAGCTTAATGTCACATTTATACTGCACGATTACTGAAGATGAATCATAGCTTCAAATTCTATTCATTTTTTCAGAAAAAAACATCCAATTGATATCTATTTCTATGTTAGTTTAATGTATATAACATTATTACAGTTATATTGTTGACTTGGCATTTCAACATACATGAATGTACCAATAATTATAAGTGGATAACATTAAACACAAGTTAAACAGTAAAACATCTTAAACAGCTTCTAGCGATAAAATGACCTTTTATGATAAAATAATCCAAAAAGGGAAGAAACATTCACTCACTGGGCCTCGTGGTCCTCCCACTGATCTGCTCCCGAGATTCCCCAAATATGAGGGAGTAAAATCAGGACCAACATTCATCAGTCGAGCCGGGTCAGCAGGCCGCAGTGGATTCTTGTTCGCCTGAAAAAGTAGGATGCAAAATGAACATGGTGCGCATGTAAAAAAAACTCTGACACGCCAAGACATTTGTCAGATTTCCTGATACGCAGTCCTAAAACATATATATATATATATATATATATACACACACATATATATATATACACACACATATATATATATATACACACACACATATATATATATATATATATATATACATATACATATATATACACACACACAAATATATATATATTAGAAAATCTAGGCTCTGAAGTCAAATGAATGCAGTAAAATAAAACATGGTTTCTGCATTGTCACAGAGACCTTTAATTTCAATATCCATTTATTTGTCATAATGTCACACACAAATGACATTATTAACATCAATACACATCAAAAAGGCAAACACACCTTGTCAAGGACCACATCACTGATGAGAGGAAGGCCTTCAGGTTTGTGCATACTGGCACCGATAAACTGGAAGCCCAAGAGAAACTCCCTGTCGTACCGCTTCTTCTCCTCTGGATCTATCGGCTTCCATTGTTCTGAGAGAAGGACAAGTCGCATGTGAAACAGAGGATTACATGTCATTTGATTAACTGTCTCTTAAGGACACATCCTCTCTGAAGCATAAAAGAGCCAATTATGTTCCACTTCTGTAGCATGGAATTGTACCATCTTAAAGGATGTACACAAATATGATCAAAAGGTATTAAAAGTAACATTTTAATGTACTGTTTCATTTTATTCTTAGGATACATATGAGCCTAAACAAATAACTAAAAGGTGTGTATAAAAGCAGCACCTGCTCCTACCGTTCAGCTTCACAGTAAACTTTTAACATTTCTTGTTCACAGCTTACCTTCTTTGTACTGGTATTTCTGCCCACTTTGATCAGACTTTTCAGGATCTGCATTCTGCTTGTCCTCTTTCTCCTCCCAGGTCTCATCTACAACCTCAGCGGGGGGTTCAGCTGGAGCAACAGGGGCAGGTTCGGGTTCAGGTTCGGGCTGTGTAGACGAGGGTTCAGAAGCAAGTTTGGCACCCTGCTCCTGCAGCGAACACAACACAAAGAGACGAGTAAGTATTCTTATAAAACAGAGCTCCCTCAGATAGATACTGCCTATATATTCTCCAAATATTATTAATACAGCCCAAAATAGTGCAGCAATTAAACACCACAACCTGGAGTATCTTTTGATTCTCTCTTGTTATAATCAGGTTTCATACACACCTCTGTGAAGGCATCCAGGAGGTCTCCAATGGCTTCCTTCTTGTTTAACTCCTTCATGTTCTTCCTCTTCTTTGGCACAGACATAGCAGCTGTAAGAAAAGAACACAACGCTGACATGAAATCACTCACAAAACAAGTTTGACACAAACCAAATATAATAAATGTATTTGTATATATTAAAACAATCCTAAATGCAGGTGATAACCAGCTCAATCTTACCTTGCATAGTAGTAGATTCCTCTGTAGGGGCCGATAAAGATAGGGCATCTTCACTTTTGTCCTTGCCCTCTTCTTCTTTCTCTTTCTCCTCCACTGCCTCCTCCACTGCCTCCTCCACTGCCTCCTCCACTGCCTCCTCCACTGCCTCCTCTACTGCCTCCTCTACTGCCTCCTGGGCTACAGGTGCTGTTTTAGCCACAGGTGTGGATTCCTGAGCTTGAGAAGTGTCAGGCTTGTCAAGGGCTTTAGTGTCTGGAAATGTCATATCCTCCACCAGTTCTTCAGTGTCCTGAGGAAGGCCATTGGAGAGAAGAGGCTCTGCCTTTGCAGCTGGTGTGGGTTCAACTTTATGTTCAGGTTCAGGTTCAGGTTCAGGTTCAGGTTCAGGTTCAGGAGAAAGTTGGGGAGCAGAGGCCGAGCTTGGTGCCACACTCTGGGTGGTTGGAGCAGCAGGTTCCTGTGCAGAGGGTGAAGGCTGAGAAACTTCAGTTGCTGCCTTTGTTGCTGTCTCTTCTTTCGCCTCGGTAACAGGGGTAGCTGTTACTGTAACTTCCTCCGCTTCAGTATCTTGTTTAGTGCTGACCTCCTGCTCTTCTTTTTCCAAGATTTTAACCTCCTCGGTTTGTTTTTCCTCACTTTCTGAAGCCTTCTCAGCAGGAGATGGGGCAACCTGTGGTTCCTCCATTCTGGCAGGTGCCTCTTGTGCTGCTAATGGTGCTGAAGGGACGACAGGAGCATCTACTGTGTCACCAACTTTAGTATCGATTTTATTTACCGCCTCAGCAGGAGCTGTAGTAGATGCTGCTGCAGGAGGGAGGGAAGAGGAAGACTGCTGTTCTTTTATCAACAGGGATGGCATGTCAGTAGCAACTGCAGGGGCTACAGTTTGTGAAGATATCTCAGGCGCAGGGGAAATTTGGTTGTCCGTTTCCTCTATTGCCTCCACCACCGGCTCTGTATTTTCTGTTGCAAGAGGTGGAGGGGTGTCAGCACTAACAGGAGGCTCCATGCTTTCATCTGTGGGGAGAAACATCAAACATCAAAAAAAAAACATCAGTAAGAAATGTGCAATGCAGACATCTTGTATTTTCTTATTTAAACTTTAAGAGATAGAAAATACATACCTCTACAAGTAGTTGTAGTAGCAGGCTGCATGATTTCACCATTGGTCTGTGCAGGACTTTCATCTGCTGAAGAGGCCTGCGGTCACAAAGCAGATTTTAGTGTATGTTTCAGTTTTTGTTTTGGAAAAACACAAATGATGCTTTCTTTAACAGATAAATGAATTTCATTAAATATAATAAACGGCCATGTGATAAATCTCTTCAAGATGCTTTGAATAAACTATGGTATTTGGGTCGTTCTTATTCGTCCAGTCTCTAATGTACGTTCTGAATGGTCTTCCCAAACAAACCGAAAACTCAACATTCTTGCAAGTTATGGCAAACTAGCCTAAAAAAATAACCACAGCTCAAAAGAATTAGTACATTTTTTTGTGCATTTACTTTGGCTTTAGATTGTTTTTTCAGTAAAACGCTGCACTGCATTTTTTGCTGTGTTCATAATAAGGTGTTAACATTCAAACCACTATGACAAATAAAGACGTTTGGAGCTCGTGTGACAGAATTCCTAAGCTGTGCATTGTTTTCTCCGACAATGCTTCCTTTGTTTATATGAACCAACAAAATGTTATTGTATTTTTTTAAATTAAGATATTTGTTAATTTTGCCTTTATCTGATGGTCATTACTGTAGAGAGGAAAAAATGCAGCGACGTTAGAAAGAATGTTGTTCGGCTGGGTCGAGTAAGGCTAAGGGTTGAATTTAAACTCAGTGGTGGGGTGGGGGGCTGACTTACCAGGGTGAGCTACACAAGCGGCGTTTTATTTTATTTGTAAAAAATCTACTCATTCTTTAAGTTTTCTTAAAAATCACTTTTGGTTTCTGTGTGTGCTCGTCTATCAGCGATACTTAGTTTCATTCACTTGGTATTTGAGGCTTGACCTGAAGTCAGTACAGATTATTAACCAAGTTATTATTAGCAACTTGGGGTCAAGTGTCTTTCCCAAGGACACATTGGACATGTAGCTGCAGGAGCTGGGGATCGAACCCCAGACCTTCCAGTTAGAAGACGACCGACTCTACCAACCGAGCCACAGCCGCCCATATCATAAGTACCCAAAAACTAACTTGCTCAAACCTGAGCTCTTTTTTTTTCTTTTTTACTACATACATATTAGTACGTATTTTCATGGATTCATTCATCTTGATAATTTTGTGGACATATCTTTAAATTGTGTCAACCATCTCACAGTAATTCTACTTTTGGGTCTGAAGCTGTAACCTTATATGGTGAAACATGTAAATTGTAGCAGATCTATGTTTGGATAGGAGCCAACCATATGTTGTCAACAACTGTTTGCTAGACAAAGAGTCTACATCTGTTACGTATACAAATCAGTGTCATGTCATCTTTATTGTTTTATGTACCCAAATAGAAAGGAATTTGTGGGCTGTACCTTCTAGCAGAATATAAGCCACACTGTGTGATGAAGACTTGGCCATTTTGCCACTTTGCCAATGATTGTCAATGATTGTGAGATCTTGGTCAGCATGGGTCAGCGATGGTCTGCACTTTGTCAGCCATGTGTGTTGTGTTTCTGTGTTGTCTGACCATGGCTGAATAAATCTAAGATGATCCACAGTCTGTTTCACGATTTCATCATTGTCCATCTACTACAGAAATAACCCCCACCTAACATACACAAACATGGATGCTTGAAATCAGAGTTTAAACCAGCCAATAAAAAACGGTCTTCCTAACACCGTCCTCACCTGTGGGGGAGTCGGTGTGGTGGTGGACCTTCCACCTGACATGATCTCCTCTGTGATATCACGCCCACCCTGGTTAGGGTCTCGTATTCTTATCTATTAAGAAAATATGAAAAACAATTAATATAATACAAACAGCATGTCACAATCCTGTCAGTGTTGATCTATAGCTGTCACAAGTTATAGAAAAAAATCTATTGTTATATTCAGGTGAAAGGGAATGTTCCACATTGAACTGACAAAACACTTCGGCCCATTCATTTTTTTTTGACCTCAGAAAAGAGGTGCACTGCTCTTTTGTTGAAAAACACTACCGGCTTGCGTTCCCTCTTTGGTGGGCCTTGTGGCTGTGCTGGCGGTTGTTGAGGCGGCGGGGCTTGTTGCTGCTGCTGTGCGGGGTTGATCATAACCGGTGCAGGCTGGACAGATGGCGAGTACTGCGGCTGAGCTGGATAGTATGCCCCTGCTGTAAGGATACAAAGAAATAAAACAGCATAAATGCAGATAGAACAATGAAAGCACTTAAAACAAGTTTTCATTCCAGTAAAACCATTTATTCTCTCTTTTTCTCTAGTTATGAACCAAAAGTCTTAGTTTCCTCTGCTTTTGTGATACCCCTGAAATATTATGTGGATAATCCTATTGCCAAATCTAAACTTGTACATATAATATCAATATGGACTAGTCTACTTGCTGATTTATTTATCAGTTTGTTAGCTTTAGTGCTGCTAACTCAACTACTGAACCCACCAATGTGTGGACCAAGAATAGTCCAAGGAAGCCTGTGAGAATTCAGTTTTTTAAAAGGGCTATGAAATCAATTAATGGATTAAACATAATTGATTAAAAACAGACAAATCAAACTGTAAAAGGGGAATTTCAACAATGAGACATTTGCTACAGAGGAAGCTAGAAATCAGGGGGTTTGGGAAGCACACTGACATCAGCTCTTCATCAACTTTCTTTGTTTTTTATCCACAAAGTGAAAGGACAATGGAAGGTCACAGACAACAGCGGAGCCAAGTAAGGGTGCAGAAGTGTTGTATTCTGTATACATTTTTCACATCTGCCTACAACCAGAATGATCCTCAATGAACAGACACAGTGTGCATTTAAAATGTGAGCTGACTGGTTACGATAAGCAGAAAAAGAAGAGAAACCCCAAATTCCAATATTCTTCTTGGTAAATGCCGTTGCCTCACTTCTACTTTAAACGTATTTAGAATGGAATCAATTTTATATGAATGTGACCTTGGATTTGTACTTCTATACATGTATGTTAAAAAAAAGAGAAAAAAAGAACACATTAAACACTATTAGAGACAGGAAGTGCCACAGAGAGTTTGCAAATAAAGCCTGCTGGCCGACACACAAGCACACACACTACTCACCGGGGTAGCGCTGGGAGGTGAGAGGAGCACCATGGAGAGAGAGACGGCCGTTCTCTCGGCCGCCCCCTCTCCCCCCACCACCCCGCCTCTCCCTCGCAGCAAGAGAGGGCTCTGAACCAACGCAGCAAACGAGAGGAAGGGAGTGAGGGACGGGAGAGGGAGGAAAGAAGGAGAGAGGGCAGGAAGAGACAGATGCAGAATGAGTTAATGAGAGGATCCAGAGGAAGCAGGGTGTTAAAAAGGTCCCATGAAATGACTGACTTCTCTATCTCTTGTTTTTTTTTTACCTTGTGTTCCTGGCTAGGTTTTTACTTTTTGTTGCATTTCTTTAGATAATAAATCATACTTAAAGTTTAATATCCTGATCACTGAACCTTGGACTCCATTGATGTATAACAGATAACAGATAGCTGATGAGCATTTGCTTAGGTAAGAATAGTATGTGGGGTGACAAATTTTAAAAATACTTCATTAGCGCATTGGTAGCTGCCATTTAAAATTATTACTTCCATTTTTGTCCTAAATTCTTCTCAAATTGCATTTACGGTCAAATTAGATTTCTACATGGATCCAACAGAAGGATGACATTCTTGTCCTAAAGCCATTTCATGGAACCTGTAAGGCAGCGTCAGGTGAGACTGCAGATAGAAAGATCACAGGCCAAAGCAGAAACAAGCCAGACCACATGCAACTGGCAGTTCACCACATACAAAAGACATTAAACACACCAAACAGCCAAGCAAAACCACAACACACCTACCAATACCTTACTATGAGAGAGTGACTAGGATTTATACCAGGTGCTTCGATTATCATTATATCAGTAGAATCAGGGTGTCTGGTGTTTGAAATTTCACCCCTTTTTTATGAATAGTTCTCATCATCTCATGGTTGTGCTTGGTTGTTGTTTGTTGCAGGCTAACCCCCTTACCATAAGCTGGGTATTCAGCAGGGCTAGTTCCAGGATAGAAGCCCGCTGTACCGCTTGCCACAGGATACTGCTGAGTAGGAGGCATATATGGGGCCCGGTACTGCAGAAACAAAGTGAAGGGTGAGAAACAATAACAGTGGATGTAGCGATAAGGTTGTGAGAGCTTCAGGTTGATCTCTATCACGTCCACATCAATGTCAAGGATGGTCCCAAATAAGAGGACTCCCTTATTGTGTTTCCACATGCAACAGTTTCTCTATTTTTTTCAAACTAGTCAGATTTTTTTCTCTGGCTTTCTTAAACCCTTTTCACACATACGGTAATCTCCTGAAAAACTTCGGAGATTTGGCTACCCGGAGGGACTTTAGGGTATATGCGAACGCAAACAGCCATATTTTTCGCGCGTATTTTACCCAGAGTTTATCCTTCCGAACCCCTAGTATTTTATCCGCAGAAAGTCAGAGTAAGCTGATGTGAGAATGCATGCTGCAAAAAGTTTTGTTGTGTACTGAGGGTCGTACATGATAAAAGCACACTAAGTAATATATTGACAGGCTTTTGGGTAGAAAGCCATGTGTGTGTGAAATTATAACACACAAATGAATACTAATGTGGACCAACCTGTCCAGGGGGGATGAAGTAGCCCTGAGGGGAGCCAGCAAAAGACAGCTGCTGCTGGGAAATCATCATCATCTGGGAGCTTGGTGGGTAGACGTGAGTGGGTCCGACAGGTCGTGGGCCACTACTCGTCTGTACCCTAGGAGCACTGGTGGCCATTGCTGGTCGGTTTTGATAGTAACTCTAGAGAACATATGAGGGAGAAGGAAAGAAGGATGATGAAAACCGAACCACAGAACAGGCAAATCTGTTTTTACCATGTGTATATTTTGTGTTTTGATTCAAAAAGTCCTATCCTATATGTTAAAATGTTTTAACTTGTGTGTCCAGCACACACACAACCTTAACCACAGCTGGTAGCAATGCGCACACAGCAACTGCCAATGGGCACAGCAAGTTCAGTTCTTGGGTTACAAAGTCTTAATCATACTGAATGTCATGTCTCCCTGCTATACTGAGGTTAGCCAGAGTTAAGGAGGGGGGACTAAGAGAAAAGCTGTTACCTGTAATGCTCTGTATCCACCCTTCAGCCGCACAACACATGAGCAGAAAGCAAGAGAGGGAGTGAGATTAAGGTGAAAATGAGGGCATGAGACAATGGGGAAGGTGGAGATTACAAGGTGTGAGAGGGAAGTGTACAAGAAGCAGCAGCAAAATATCTCTCAATCAACAGTAGGTTCAGACAACCCTAACGACATATGCCACTTTGTACAGTGGTCCACTGCAGTCCTCCAAGTCCCAGTAACAAGTGGTGAAAGAATCATTTTACAGGCTTCAGGGGCATGTGAGCCCTGAACAAAAATAAGAATGCTGAAAGGTCGAAAGATGAACTCACTTAACTATTAATTGTTTGAGCTGACCCAGAGACAGGCATCATCAGTGTTTATGTGTGTATAGATTAGCTAGAGCTGTATAATACGCATACGTATCTTTTTTTTAATGATTTTGACATTAAATTTAAGCTGATAAAAAAAACAGGTCAGGACTCCGACTTGCAGGAAAACGTGAATTTATGCAGGAGCTAAAGATTAAATAAGGTTAACGTTTTCATCAATATCACCCGGCAGATCTTACTATCAATAAATATGCATTTTCAGAATAAGATTGAACTCAACTTTACCAGATCTGAGGAAAAAGCTTCAATAATTACAACTACAGCATTCTCATCGAATGGCCCAATATTTGGAACTGAAAGCATGCATCACACTAAGGAGACGGAGGGGATGTAAGGAAAAATGAGGGGTGTTAGTACCTGTTGGTGTAAAGTACGGGGGCCTGCGGCAAACTGGGAGGGCAGCAGAGAGAGAGGAAAGAAGTCAAGACTGACATTCTTGGAGAGAGATTGCAAATTGGCTACAACACTCACACACATACAGTACACAGAGCTAGCCAAAGCCTTAGAACAGAGGAAGCCATGTCAGAAATCCTTTTGTAGGAGTAAGAAAGGAAGTGATTCTTCAGAAGGCAACAATATTACTATACTTTGTCAATTAATACTTAAAAAAGCATGCTCATAACAATACCTGTCTTGGCTGTGGTGCAGAGTTCATTTGTGGAGGAGGGGTGGCAAAAACAAGAGAAGGGGGCTGTCCAGGGCCGTAGGGAGCCTAAGGGGAGAAAATATATATTAGCAATCTTTAATCAAACATAAAAGTTTATATTATACAAGGTCAGTTGCTCTCACCTGTGTCAATCCGGGGGATGGGGCAGGGTTTGGGACTGAGGTGGGTCCCGTTATAGGCTGTGGTGGTTTGTTCATTTCACGTTCTTTTGTGGTTCTGCATTAGGGTGGCGATGTGTTGCCAACCTTTCCTGAAGACAACAGAAAGGAGGAAGAAATAAAGTTTAGGAACAATTAGTTAAGTGTTATTCCCAATCATTAAATCATCTTTCTTTCACCATTAAAAAATCTTTTAGTTTTAAATGTAATCTCTAATAAACAATGTAATTACAGCCAAACAGGTTAAATTCAGCAAATAATGCAGGAAGAAGGGAACCTTTTAGTGTGGTAACTTCTAACCAAGCATGGAGGGTGTGGCCTGTGGTTTCGCCTATGATAACATCACTAGTTCGCAGGCTCACATATTAAACAGTAAATACTGATGAATACAATTTAAAAAAAAAAAAAAAAAACACCATTTCTTGGGGATGTATAAAATATTCATCAGTGATCATGACTCTGCCAAATTAAAGCACATGTGAGCAATTAGTAATAGTAACTCAAGTAAAAGGTTTTCCTTTTTACAAACATGACAACAATATAATCTCTTGGATTGGTCTGGATATGAGTGAATTGCAGAAAATGGATACCTCGGGTCAAAGTTCATTTACTGTGTTAACAGTGGCTTCAATGCGACTGGCCGTGCTAGCTACATGTGCAGATAATCCATTCAAATGAGGCTGAATCGATATCCATGCCCTAAAGGGAAAGCAGTCTTTTCATCGTGATAAATCCGGGTAATGTAGGTGCTGGAGAAGCTAGAACATGCTGATTTTATTTAAAAGGAAAAAAAAAAAAAAAAAAATGCCGAACACGACAAGCAGACGTGTCACACAACATCCACCTGCTGACACGGGGACTGTGTTAGCTGCTAGCTAGTGCCATGCTTCTTCTAAGATCGGGCATCCATGTATTTAAAAAAAAATCTCCCACATGGCTTTGACGACATGGCTAACCAACAGCCTTACTAGCCGCACATTAAATATAACAGATTGCGGATTTTATTTCCAACCAGGCTCCTGTTTAGTTGCAGGACGAGAGGCAGGTTAATGGCCCGCTAACCAGGCGGTCCTCCCGGCTGAAGCAGGTTACATCGTTAGCTCACTGCCGGCTAACATTACGTGTCCCAGTATCAAAGACACTACGTGGCTGAAAGCTGGGTCCACACTTCACCTGAAAGTCAGCTTTAATGACTATTTATTTACGTATCAATGAGCAGTGACTTATAATACTTGACCCCGGTGTGGACACAGCAGAGTTAATGTTAGTCCTACATGTTTTATTACAGGCCCACAGAGACTCAGGAAAACCTCAACATGACACTTTATTAGAAGTAGATGTTGTTGTATACAAACAAGGCAATTAATGTAATGTTTACAGTCGTGCTGTTTACGTCAGGGCGTTTCCTCAAACACAGTTAAAATCACTTTAACCCTCAGAATAAAACGCGTAACCTCATGAAGAGGTGATGACGGTCATGTTACCCGAGTGGAGATTAACCACGAGCTGTCATTTAACTCACTTCAACTAAACACCTGGAATAGGTGGATTTGTTTAAACACGCCACTTTTTAAGATAAGTTCAAACATATCAAAAAGGTTTGGGTTTTGTAGCGTTATGATAAAAGTGGTGAGCTGGTTATCTATCAGTGTGTGTGTGTGAGTGTGTGTGTGTGTGTGTGCACTGACAGCCGGCCGGGCCTGTTAGCTACATTAGCTACATTAGCTTAGCTAGCCTGTGTGCCTTTGACAAAGTGAAGCTCGGTGGACATTAAGCTAACACTCCCGCCGTCACTTCACTTTATTCTTACCGGGAATCAATAACGAATGTGTTGCAAGATGGTATCTCGGGGAATCGGCTTCTGGTCAGTCTTCTGTCAAAGAAAATAGTGGTGTTGTAGTTTCCTTGTCCTTTACTCCAAAAAAAGTGATGCCCTTCTTGGCTGTTGACTTAGGGAGCTAGCTTGTTAGCTGACCGGCAGATGATGCTACTACTGTCACTTCGGTTTAAATCCCCGGGCGTGCAAAAGTGACAGTGCTCAATAAAACTAATAATATAGTACTTAGGTGGTACTATTGACAACTCCGATGGCCCCGAAAAAAGCCTCTGGACCGGAGGTCCATGATCAAGGCGTCGATGGTGACGGATTGCCGGTAAGGTATTTACAACTGTCGCATCAGGAGGCTCAGAGCGAGGCCATAATGCGAAGCTTCTGCTCTATGGAGCCGGTGCGCCTTCGAGTCGCATGGGCAACTTCCGGGAACATTAAAATGTGATGCTGTTTCCCTGATCATGTGATACAGGAGGCAAGGTGTATGGGTTTGTAATGTCAGAAATATGCTATTTGTATTTTCAGAAATGTGGGTCTGTTATTTGTATTTTCAGAAATATAGGTCTGTTATTTATATTTTTAGAAATATTGGTCGGCTATTTGTATTTTTAGAAATATAGGTCTGTTATTTATATTTTTAGAAATATTGGTCTGCTATTTGTATTTTTAGAAATATAGGTCTGTTATTTATATTTTTAGAAATATTGGTCTGCTATTTGTATTTTTAGAAATATAGGTCTGTTATTTGTATTTTTAGAAATATAGGTCTGTTATTTATATTTTTAGAAATATTGGTCTGTTATTTGTATTTTTAGAAATATAGGTCTGTTATTTATATTTTTAGAAATATGGGTCTGTTATTTATATTTTTAGAAATATAGGTCTGTTATTTATATTTTTAGAAATATGGGTCTGTTATTTATATTTTTAGAAATATAGGTCTGTTATTTATATTTTTAGAAATATTGGTCTGTTATTTATATTTTTAGAAATATTGGTCTGCTATTTGTATTTTTAGAAATATGGGTCTGTTATTTGTATTTTTAGAAATATAGGTCTGTTATTTATATTTTTAGAAATATGGGTCTGTTATTTATATTTTTAGAAATATAGGTCTGTTATTTATATTTTTAGAAATATGGGTCTGTTATTTGTATTTTTAGAAATATTGGTCTGTTATTTGCTGCTAGCTAGTGCCATGCTTCTTCTAAGATCGGGCATCCATGTATTAAAAAAAAATCTGTTAAAGGGAGCTAGCTTAAAAAGTCTGTTATTTGTATTTTCAGAAATATGGGTCTGCTATTTGTATTTTCAGAAATATGGGTCTGCTATTTGTATTTTTAGAAATATGGGTCTGTTATTTGTATTTTTAGAAATATAGGTCTGCTATTTGTATTTTTAGAAATATAGGTCTGTTATTTATATTTTTAGAAATATTGGTCTGCTATTTGTATTTTTAGAAATATAGGTCTGCTATTTATATTTTTAGAAATATAGGTCTGTTATTTATATTTTTAGAAATATGGGTCTGTTATTTATATTTTTAGAAATATGGGTCTGTTATTTATATTTTTAGAAATATAGGTCTGTTATTTGTATTTTTAGAAATATGGATCTGTTATTTGTATTTTTAGAAATATGGGTCTGCTATTTGTATTTTTAGAAATATAGGTCTGTTATTTGTATTTTTAGAAATATGGATCTGCTATTTGTATTTTTAGAAATATGGATCTGTTATTTGTATTTTTAGAAATATAGGTCTGTTATTTGTATTTTTAGAAATATGGATCTGCTATTTGTATTTTTAGAAATATGGGTCTGCTATTTGTATTTTTAGAAATATGGGTCTGCTATTTGTATTTTCAGAAATATAGGTCTGTTATTTATATTTTTAGAAATATGGGTCTGTTATTTGTATTTTCAGAAATATAGGTCTGTTATTTGCTGCTAGCTAGTGCCATGCTTCTTCTAAGATCAGGCATCCATGTATTAAAAAAAATCTGTTAAAGGGAGCTAGCTTAAAAAGTCTGTTATTTGTATTTTCAGAAATATAGGTCTGTTATTTGTATTTTTAGAAATATGGGTCTGTTATTTGTATTTTCAGAAATATGGGTCTGTTATTTATATTTTTAGAAATATAGGTCTGTTATTTGTATTTTCAGAAATATAGGTCTGTTATTTGTATTTTTAGAAATATAGGTCTGTTATTTGTATTTTTAGAAATATGGGTCTGTTATTTGTATTTTCAGAAATATAGGTCTGTTATTTGTATTTTCAGAAATATAGGTCTGTTATTTGTATTTTCAGAAATATAGGTCTGTTATTTATATTTTCAGAAATATAGGTCTGTTATTTGTATTTTTAGAAATATAGGTCTGTTATTTGTATTTTCAGAAATGTGTCCATGTTGTATGATAAACGGCTGAGTTCGTCTGCGTGCTATGCAGTTTGGCCTGTGAGGTGTAGGCCTACGTCGTTTGTTTTTTTGTTTGTGTTTAAGTAGGCCCTACCTAGGCCTACTACAAATTAAATGTACTGTCCTAATTCAATAAATACACAAATAAATAAAAGAGACTTAACCATACATGATATAAGACCTATTTCAACGTTATTCAAGTTTTTATGTAGGCTATACTGTCGTAACTACCGGTTCACAGTTTGCTGTATTGAATTAAGTGGCCTATATTATCTAAATCAAGCATAATAGTCTACTCGACTATGTCTTAAATTGTAGGCTTATTTTTGTTTTCTTGTTCTGTGAAGTTGATTTCTTTTAGCTTGAAAGTGAAAAAATGTTCAAAGTGTTCAAAGTACTGTCTTATGATTTAAATTAAAAGTCTCTGTAGCCTAACTATAGGACTGACAAGCCATTATTTACTTCATTCATAAATCTAATGATTTATTTCTTTGGTTATTTGAATACTCTTTTTTAACAATTACAATGTCCAAAAATCAAAAAGATTATCAGAATTTCCAAGAACCCAAAGTGACAGTCAAACTGCTTCTTTGTCAAAACAAGTCAAAAACCCTAATAGTTTACCCATTACTAAACCAAATGAATGCACTATCTTAAAAGTAATAGAAAAGCCAAATGTAATTTAATCGAAGGTACTGCCGACAATTTTTTTTTTTTTTTAATAGACTCCTTTTTTAAATTGGCTTTGGAAGTCTTCATGTGTGTGTATATATAGCCTACTGTATACATAGGCCTTTAGCTTTTTCCCCCCACACATTTCTTGTCCATCTTCAGCTGTCTGATCAAAATACAGGCAAAAGCCCCAAAACAATCTTAAGAAAAAGTAGTGCAGTCTTTATAAGGTCCCTAGTTCGAAGTAAACTTGCATCTTCTCCTTCTAGTTAAGAACAGTTTAAAAGTTTAACACAGGGCTCAAAGGGAATTTTTGCGCCATGGCCTAAAAGCAGGTTTTATTTGGACATGGCAACGTCCTCTGTTAATGACAAAATGTTTGTTTATTGCTTAAGATGTGACATTGCCAGCAAGTGATCCAGCTGGCGTCAATGTACTGTTTAAACGTCACTAGTGATATAACATTTCTGCGCGTTATAGGCCAGATGTCTCTGACAAGATTTTTCTTTGGAGGCGAACCAAGAAAGCCCAGTATCCCCTCACCCCTTAGGAAAAGATGATTAGTTTTGTTTTACTATTTCCTTGCGTGTCTAGAAACGTAACTTCTCTTTATAGAACATTTTCAGAAAAATACATTTTTAGCTTATAAAATCAATGCTAATTTTGTATTCCTTCATACATAGCCTCTTATTGAACAACACACGATAAGTGTCTTTAAGTGGAACACTACTACAATTTTTTTATATAAATTATGTGCTTTCCAACACCTACTGTGTTTTTCAAAAAAGCTTTACATTTATATCAGAACAAACATTATCAGTCTTATTTATTCACTCAAAGCAAACATGACGATATGGTTCATATCTTCTTTTTTTAGCTATCCAATGTTTTGATCATTTTTCAAATGAAAGGCTTAAAAATACACATTTGAAAAAAAAAACATACTACAGACACAAAAGATCATTAAAAAGCTTTATTTGGGAAAAGTCACTTGTTAACAAAACAAAAGTTGATCCAATGACATGGTCGTGTAACATTTTATTCAAAAGCATTCAAATAGAAACATGCGGGCGTGATTGGTCAGAGAAGAGCTGTTTATAGGTTCTGAGAGTAAAATGTATCTGTTTGTTGTTTTTACTCTAAAAAAAAAGGTCTACAACAAGATCAGTAGGAAAATACAAAATGTAATTTTTGAGATGAGTGTGGGAAGTGTGGGTAAGGTGCTTGAATCATGGAGGGCTGGATGAGGAACCACATGGTCTGTGGTGGCTGTTAATTCTTTTGCTGACAGGAATGGAAAGTGCAAGATCTCTCCAGATCTGTAAATAAAGACAAAGAAAGAAAAAAAAGTTAGATAAATGTGAAGCAGAAACATATCAAGTGTGATGTGTCTCATGTAATGATATGAATTTGAATAGTTTTTTTTATTGACTGTACTGTAAATCTTGTTATAGCCCACACTGCAGTTCTACAAACCTGGAGTGGATTGACCACAAACCCTGAGTGAGTTCATGGCATCCATGTACTCTGTCCCCAAAAACGCGCCGAAGCTTGTTCCAGCCTGAATCTCTTGGAGACACTTGGTGGAGTCTTTGAAGAGGAGGTTTTTGCCGTTGTCTGACTGGAACAGCTTGAATGTGAACTCTCCGGCACTGTTACCAAACTTGCCCTAAAAATTAGAAGATTATGATTCAAAACATGATTACACAAACGTATCACAGTCAGGGAACAACAGAAGTTAAGAGAAGAAAGAATGTTGCTGAGAGGAAAATTACTTTTTCTGTTTAAAGTTAGCAAAAAAAAGTCCAGAAAAACACCCTCTTTGGATGCTTGAACTGTAACTGAAATCCTCCTTCAAAGGTTTAATACATGCTCAAATAATTGCTGAGTGTATTGTAGCTGAAAAAAATTAATGTAATTTGAATGAGTATAAAGGAGTTTGTCAGCTTCCTTGCAGCTGATGATAAAAAAACGTTTTTTAAGCATCAACAAAAGTAAAGCATCCACTGTAGTTAAAATTCATATTAGAACAACAAAAAAAAGGATGAGCTGGGCAATTCATGTTTTGTTGAGGAATTTTCTGTGAAGCCTAAAAATCTACAAAGTGGTGAAAAAGCATCTTCCTGGAATGAAAAACACCAGTAGAAGCAAATATAATCTATTGTTATCCAAACGAACAAAAAGTAAGGGCAACCTGAAAAAAGAAGCATCACGAACCTGCTGGTCCTTGAGAGTGGTGACCACATGGTCGCGGCTCTCTGGACGAGTCACCACAGCGTGTGCAGGCACCTTGGCAAGGTGACAAGACTGGAATTCAGTGATTGGCA